TTACGATCACAATTTTGAGATGCAAATATCAAAAACTGCATTAAAATATCGCGAGGATTACCTTCTAAATACTTACAATTAAGTAAAATTACCATTTAATATACGTATTAGTAATAAATTAAAGCGATAATCAAAGATTTTACTCACCCATGCACGTGCGATCTGCCATCTTGACTTACGAACCGCGTCACACTGAGTAGTGTGTTTTGCCTTTGGTAGAAATTTTGTTTTGTAGGAGAAGGATAGATATATTGCGTTCCATTTTACGCTCGAAGTAAATGGATTAGACGATATAATTATAAAAGATAAGCGAATTTTTTTTATGTTCGCTTTTTGGAACATTCGGTTACAATGAATGGTCGTGTTTCAGAAATGTCAGGACTCAGGGACATCTTAGAATTGGTTCCAAAAAAAGGACGCCAGGTCTCACGAGGCTATAGCAAATTTAACATAAGATATGAAACATTAATATAACTTGCACTAGTATAGTAACATGTTTAAATTGTTCAATGCCGAAAGTATGAATAATCGCGGTCTGTCTCAGTCCATTGTACACCCTGTTGGTGTGGGTTGTAGGCAGACGATGAGACATGTGTGGTTGGTTCTGTGTGGTTTCTGGTTGAACCTCTAAAGAATGTGTCAGTATTTAGTAGTAGTTAATATACTTCATTGCACTAGGTGTAAAGATAGAATAAGACAACCACACAGAATGCCCACAAAGTCTCTGCGCGACAAGTTGAGTATATAAGCAATAGAAAGCAGTGCGCGCGCACATTTTCTTTCTCTCTTTCTCTTAGAGCTAGTAAATGAAATATGAAAATATATATACATACATGTATATATTGTACACACACTTCAATCAGGACTACGGAACCCTAAAAAGGGAGTTCTATTATAAACTAGTTTTTTTCTCTATTTGTAGTTAGAACAATAGAATAATAAGATAAGTAAGATCTAGATATAAAGATAAGCGCCAGTTGTCCTTAAATATCATACAATCGCGAAAGTAAAAATCATTTGTTTGTTTTCATTGCAACTTAATTTAAACAAATAACATTATGAATCAGCGCGTTCAGTATTTGCTGTTTAAAACAACGATTTAAATCGTTAGATACGCCCTGACACCGAAAAACTATGGCTATATTTTACCAATTACGTTAAGATGATGGCCGTTTTGACACATTACAATCTTAGAGCATATACCTCATGTGGTATGGTATGAAGTTCGCCAGGTCAGCTAGTTAAAGATATAAGCGGCCTACTTACATGCCTGCCGAAGGGACAATCTAGGGTGTAAGAGTGGAGATGAACCTTAATTGCCTCCTGATTGTGATGTGTGTAGGCAAGCAGGGGTAATTTTCTAAATCGGGCCTGCGACAGGGCCGCAGTAGTGCGAGACCACCCTTGGTCCATAGATTGTCTCTACCGCCCTGCACGTTGCCGCGTGTGTAGCGCGATTGGGGCAATTTCTCAATCAGTCTGTTGGTAGCTGTTACACGGAGCGCACATATTTCGATCAAGGTGGCGGCAGATCATAATGAGCATGAAGTTTGGACACGCGTGCTCGAAGTTTAAAAAGACTGACCCCACATGTGGGATAAAAAAACTATTTGATTTTTTTAAGAACTTATGTTTAAATCTAAAGAAAATATTACTAGAAAAATAGAAATAGTTTTTTTTTCGTTTTTTTTTCTTGTAATATTTTCTTTACGTTCAAACATTGAGCAATTACATGCTTAAAAATTTTAAATTATAACTTTAATTGCTATTTTTTCTTTAAAATGTTTAATACTTGTAAAGGTGTTCATTTGACACTGTGGGTTACTTATAATGCGATGAGATGGCGCTGCCTTGTAGCTTAAGAAAGGCTAGAAAGAATTCGATACGGCCGTCAGGGCCGCGGTAGCATAATTGATTAGTGCATTCACCCGGATAGCGAAGGGTGCTGGTTCGAGTCCCGTCTGTCGCCAGGTCCGCGTGAATTTTTTTTCTAGTAATATAAACATTACTTATTTACAATACATTTCTTTCTGTTGACAATTCTTCACCCAGTATTTCCTTTTTTGCGGTAACACCATACAAAAAGCAAAGGCCCTGCCTACCGATCTGATTTTTTGATAACGCTGGGACCATCATCAACGCGTGTGTTTAGCTCAATATACCCCCGAACACTGAATAGCAGGCATGTGTGTAGAGACTAGCCGATATTGCCCCGACCGCCGTGCACCCTAGATTGTCCCTGTGGCAGGCATTTCAGTAGGCCACATTAAAGAAAAGATAGATAGAGAGAGAAACAGATTGTTTTATTTAATAAGTGTTGTGCGTGAAAACCTAAGAAACAAATATAGAGAGAGATAAAATAATTCACTGTTATATACGTGAATTTTTTACCGGAAGCCCCAAAATATACTTATAGATAATATGATGTCGATTCTAGCATGATTTAGCATGATTTTCTAAACTTAGGTTTAAGTTTAGAGAATCATGCGAATTTAACATCAATCTCTCCTTTTCATTCTGTGTAGAGAATGACAGTGATAAACTCTATTTTTTTCTCTTTATTTAAAGGACTTTTATCTTTACAGACATGTCAGTCCCATCGTGTACTTATATAAATTAACAAATCATCTAAGCCAATTAACGTAATATGTTATTGTCGGAAGAAAGTCGCGGCAGACATAAAGCGATACAGCATTCTGGTCTCTTCCGAGACCGGTTAGGCCAGAATGCTGTGAAACACACCAATGTCTGACATCATTCAATTTACATTTTTTAACAAACTCTTGTCTCTCATTCTGGTACCGGACACATCAACAAGTACTGGAGATCTTCTACAACACAGCATACTTCACAGTTGGGAGACTCAATTTTTTTCATAAGATGTCCTGTCAAAGGCCAAATCATATTTGGATCAAAGTTGAACGTCTGGAATAGATATTTCTACTAAAATTATTAATTAAATATAAACAGTTTTTACAAATTGTGATTGACGCAAATAAAAGCTGAGTAAAATAAAAAAATATATATAAAACACTGCATTGACATTCATCCTAATTTGTCCTTTTTGGTAAACAATCTTGGCACTTCTTTTTATGGAAAACACAGCATTAAAAATCAATTGATAACTAGATTCAATAGGTTTTAGTCTATAATAACGATTTATTATAATAGATTATTGACTTTGTTATTATTTTATTTTTAAAATGGTGATTTTGTAAAAAAATTGTGCCAAGATTGTTTACCAAATAGGACAAGTTAGAATGTTTTTATTTTAAATTCTCCCATTTCGGGGAAGACAATGGGAACAATGCCCATAAAGCAAAGTCTTTAGTTTTATTTATCTTCGTTTTGTTACATTAGAATGTTGGTGTGACTCATTCTAATGTTTCTTGTTGACTCATTGAGTTGGCTTTTCAGGTAAGCTTCTGTGAGGTAGTCAACACTACAATAAAATTCTCACGTCCACTTGACTAGAATAGCGTATATTTTAAAGATTTCACTGATTCTTCAGATGCGCAGAGGGTTGTAACATAAAATCACATCAATTTTATTTCACAATATCCACTGTGAACAAATTTAAGAATAATTAAAATAAGACGCCCACCGCACTGGATGAAATCAAATGGCTTCGCTTCTACTACATTTTGAATTTATCTGTGATTTGGTATACTTGTTATGATTTCTGTGCAAAAAAATGTAATACAGATACGTTGTGAAAATGTCAAAATAACATAACCAATAAATGTTCAGAGCAAAATATCTTTTTTCCTCGGCTTTCTTTCGTCGTGATTCTTACATAAATAAGCTCAATAACTTACGCAGAATCTAATGATATATCATTTGTTGAAAGACGCAACAATTTAATTTGAAATAAAACGATGTATGGGAGTGGATATGTTTAGGTTTAGAAAATCATGCCAGAATCGATACCTATATTAAACTAGCTGACTCGGCGAACTTCGTACCGCCCAAAAGTAATAATTTGCAATAAATTAAAATTGCGACTATAATTTGAGATTTAAACTATCCTATCTCTCAAGTTGGATCGAACTGCACATGGTGTGTGAATTTTATTATAATCGGTTAAGTGCTTTAGGAGTCCATTGAGGACAAACATTGTGACACGAGATTTATATATATTATGATTAACTAAATAATACATAATATAATATAGTTTTGTTTTTTTTTAATTCTATGCCCTAAGATTACCGATTCGATAAATAGGGCTAAGTGCTTTTCACTAAAATGAGAATGAAGAACGTTCTTCGTAATTTGTTCTTTCAAATTTAGAACTATTTTTTATGAAACTTCATGGGAGGACAAACGTCAAAACGCACAACGCGGTACCAAGAGAATAGTGTTGCATCTTTTGGTCTTGCAATAATTTCCAATATTACTTTCACTGTCATGCGCTGTCCGACTTATTTTTTTTTAATTGTTTTTTCTTCTTTTATTATACTACTATTTATTTTTTATTGTTCTTTTTTCTTTTATTAAGGTATTATTTATTTTTAAAACAATTTAAGAATAGAATATTTAATGTTGCCTACTATTTTACAGTACCTAATCATGAAGGACTTTTACAAATTCACATTTTTGTAGGTTTCACTTCTATTGCATATGAACAGCACATACATATTTGTTTTTTAAGAATGAGTCTAAAAAAAATCGCCTCTACTTCCATCAACAAAATGAGGAAGAGGAGGTAATAACAACTCGGTAGAATTTCTTTATCATTTGGTAATACGATACGGTATAAGAGTATCTTTTAAAGGTGCCAATATAGTGTTCAGAGCTGTTGTTTTATATGTTACTACTGAAGAAATATGACTTCGCACATTTGTTGACAAATATATCAGATACATAAAACAATATACCTAAAGAAAAAAATACATATAAGGTTGCACAGACGTAGTACTTTTGCCTTCACAACGGAAAAAGGCTAATTTTGTCAGTCAAGTTGGCAGCACTGTATGTTTGTTTGTTGAGTTTCGGTGATTCTGTCATTCTGTTTTCAAATTTTAACGGCTGCGATACTGGGTTGCTTCTGAAACGAAACTTGAATTGTTTTGACGAAATTGTTTTCGGTAGGAAATAATGGATAGAAAGTGTATTATCAGTTAAACTGCTACTTTTAACGATGGAGCCATCAAAAGAAGCAATTGCTGTGCGTATAACACGGTTGAATCGTCAAATTTTAGGCAAAGTTACTAGTGGTGCAAATAAACTGAATAAAAAGACTATTGACCGTGAAGCTCTTCTGGATGCTCTAACTGTGCTATATGATGAATGTAATGAAGACCCCGTGAAGAAGAGTGATGAGCTCGTTCGAGCTTTTGTGGATAAATGTAAGTTTGAGAGCAGGTGCTATGAGCAGATGTTTTGCCTAAGCTTGCAGTGCAAGTTTAAAATAGAACAATCGGCATTATTCGTCCTTTGTACGGTTCTTCGTCATTTTACAATAATAATTTTATGTACTTAAGCTAGAAAGTAGGTATCTGATTCTTATTGATATTCATTTAAATATTACAACAGATACATATAAGCATCCAGTCTATAGATATTTTTTTAAGAAAATATTTTGCCTGTGGATATAACATCCAATAAGTATATTTATAACTAAAGTTCTGTAAATCATAAACAAATCAGCTTGAAATCAGCATATATTCATTCAATACATTGTTTTTTAAACCTGTGTGACGTAGCATAACACAATCAGCTGTTAAATATCTTGAAAGATGTTAATTCTTTGTAATGATTTTTCTGGAGTTTTTATATTATTAATACTTTATTTAAAAGAAAACAATATTTGTCTATTCCGTTACTGAGGATTTTCTAAAATGAGGCGTAAGGTGACATGTATAAATATTTTATTTCATATGTATCAAAAATTTGAAATAAATATCTCATGTCACCTGGGTGCCACCTAGGAGATACATTTTATTGAAATCCATCCTTGCATTGAATATTGTAATTGAGTTACATAACATCATCAGCTTATTATTTTGCCTACAGTTGGTTCACAGGCCACATTAGAAGACACACAAGCCTTAATGTGCTTACTGAATCGTCTAAGCAGCTTGAAAACCTATATTTTCTATAATTTCACCCTAAAGGGGTTAACTATTTCTGCATCAAGCTCTTTCTTAAAGGAGAGGGCCAATCATCCATTTTTATCTGCAGTAGTAACTAGCAATATAAATATGATTAGTGTAACTTAAATGTTATAAATATCCAGTAATTAAAATTTAAACCATTCAAGTTGCAGTTTCATGAAATAAATAGATAAATATTTCTTATACCCATGCTCATTAGCCTAGAACTATAGTTAGTTTAATACAACATTCATAAAATATATCAAAATTAATATTTAGACAAATATTTCTTCTTTTATCCTTACTAATGGTATTTTTTATTAATTGTGTAAGTATACTGATTTCAGATAGGAGCACTCTTGCAGAGTTACGTCGGACTCGGGTGTGTTACTCTGATTTTGATATACTTCAAACTATTGGTAGAGGTCATTTTGGGGAAGTACATGTAAGTTACCTATGATTATGTAATAAAATTATATTCCTTAAATTACATATTTTTCGTAAAGCTAGATATTTTTTCTTCCATGCAGTTGGTACGTGAGAAAGAAACAAGTGATGTTTATGCATTGAAGACACTGCGTAAGGAACAGGCACGTAAGCGGGCTGCCGGTGCTGCAGAGGATGAGCGAGATGTGTTGGCCAATGCATCAGGGCCATGGATTCCAAAACTTCAATATGCTTTCCAGGTAAGCATAGTGAAGTTAGAACTTCTAAATATAGGGGACCAGGCCCCCTGATCAATTGCTTGGCTAAACTGTACATTAATAATCCACTAGTTGAAACTTCGCTTTTTTGTTGATAAGATCTATTCTTGAATGTCTCTGAAAGTATTGATAATGTCCTGCAAACATAATGAAAGAAAACTTGCATATGAAATAGTATTTAACAGGGTTGCACTGGATAATTATTGTGATAATTATTGTTGATAATAGCGAACAACTGTTATTGTACAAAACAAATAGTACATCGCTGTTGAGGCGCGAAAAACCAGCAATTGCTGGACGAGTAGTTTGAATAATACGAGTCAGGCAATCGCTAGTTCCGCCGAGGCGCAGTGCTTTTCTCAAAAAAATTTAAGGAGATAAATAAAAATTCTGTAGAGAAATAAATCCGAAATCCCCCGTTGTTTTAGTTTTCCCACCAATCGTCGTATTTTTTGCTAGTCTGTTTTTGATAGGACAAAGGCAGCATATACAGCTATACAGCCTAGAGGTTGGTTCATACAAAATAAGAAAAAAATAATAAATAGATAATAAACGAGTAAACACCAGTTCAGTATTCCCACCAGTCGTCATATTTTTTGTTTGTCCGTATTTCATAGGGCAAAAGATACATATACAGCCATTACACACATGGTTTTTACATACAGAAGAAAAAACAAAAATTACAATAATAAAGTCGTGCACAAGTCAAAATTAATAGTTTTTTTTAACAAAAGTAGTCTCAGACTCTCAGGTAAAAGTAATGTCTAGAAAAAAACTTTCATTTATATATATGTTATTTGATTTGATAGTTGGATAATTATTGGAGAAAAGAATTATCATCATAATTTGCAACCCTGGTATTTAATAGTATATTATTATTGTTTATAAGAAACAAATTTCGTTTTGTAGGAATTTGAAGAGCTTGATGGCGCGTGGCGTGCTTAGGTTATTTGGTTTGCAATTATGAAAGTTAAGCAACTTTGGTGATGGCCTTTTATAAGATGGGTGACCAAAAATGTATTATCTCGAGTTCCTCTGTGTTAATTAAGGCCTTTGGTTCAAGCTGCATCTGCAGTTGTTATCACCCACCAATCTGCATTGGGCCAACATGGGAAACCCTTGCATTGGGAAAGCCTGTGCCCCAGCAGTGGGGCTATTAATAGGCTGGTGATGAATTACGAGGAGCTCGATGGCGCAGGTGGATAGCGTGTTCGGCCTGCAATCATGGAAGTTAAGCAAATTTCGCAATGGTCGGTCATTGGATGGGTAACCAAAAGTTTCTATGTCGAGTTCCTCCGTGCTTCGGAAGGCATGTTAAGCGGTTGGTCCCGGCTGCATCTGCAGACGTTAGCACCCACCAGTCGGCCCGGGGCCGCTTGTTATGTCATGGCCTAATCTCCCTATTTCATCCAAAAGGGAAGACGTGTAGGCTGAAGATGATGATGAATTAAGATCTAATTGCAGGATCACAGTAATCTGTACCTAGTGATGGAGTTGTGCTCGGGCGGCGATTTGGCGGGACTCATGGCACGTCGCAACCACCCGTTGTCGGAACGCGACGCTGCTTTCTATGTGGTAGAGATTTGTCACGCGCTCAAAACCCTTCACAGCATGGGCTACGTTCACAGGGACGTCAAACCGCATAATATACTACTGGACAGGTATGGCTTTAATTTCTTCTTTCAAGTTTAGTTGTTAAGGAGTTAAAAAATATAAAAATATAATTTTGCTCTGACCTCAAAATTTTTTACCACTGATTCTAGCACTCTTAGCTGAAACAGTAGAGAATGGTTATTTTTTCCTTGATTAATATTTTTAAAAGTAATGTTTCTCTAGTGAGCCTTTTCAAAATATAATAATGATCCTATAAGTTTTTATTGTAGTGAACTCAAAACCCTTTTAATTGATTTAACAGACGAGTTAGTATAGTGCAACATTCATACTTAATGACATCTTTGTCACATTGAATGTTTCTGAAGTTGGCACAAGTAGCATAGTAAATTCAGGTGTGCTTGAGGTTTCACCTCTGAACTATGTGTAAAGTACCGCTCGCTGCTAACTTTACAGCCGTTTGAATCGTACTATACCCGTATTTATGTACGCGTAGTGTGGCCGTAGTTACGACCACAGCACTCTCTCACACTTACTTTTGTATTACTTTACAGTTTGACAGAGTATGTTTCACTAAGTCCATTATCTATACTGTGATCCCACTTTATTGTATTTGTAACGAGGTTTCGTTACCATTGGTCTGGTAAGATCACGTGAAGCTAGGACTAAACTAGACTTCGGTTCTTGTACGCGCCTTTCAGAAAACGGGGCGGTTGTTTTCCTCTCGCGATAGACACGGTGGACTGAGTGGCGTCAATGCTGCACCCCTTTAGACATACAATACCCTTGGAAAGCTCTATACAGTCCAGGAAGAGGGTATTGAGGGATTTGCATCTGGATAAAGAGGTTCTACCTTTTCCCGTTGGTCAGATGCGATCACGTGAAGCTATCTGACTTAGGTTCCTGCGCACGCCTGTCAGAAGGCGGAAGCGATTATTCGTCGCCCGCAATAGGCTAGTTGACCCTTTTTGGAAAAAGGTTTTAAATGGTTAATAAATGTTCTATTAGACCAAAAAATAATGTATTGTATTTTTTTGAGACCTAGAAAGCTACAAATCTTTAATTTTAAAATAGACTTTTCATGGACATACAAAAACGCTGTCGGCCATTTTAGTCTATAGATTATCTATGCTATGACGTTGACGGTAGTAAACAAAAAATCGTAAGCACGTAGAAAATAACCTATCTGAGTTTATAATAAAAAAAAACATGATTTCTAATAGATACCACAAAAAATATAGTAATTATCATTATTGTATTGTACGAGAATGTAAAAACACATCCTTGAAGACTCCAGGAAAGTTGTGTGATTGTGTTGTGTGCCGAAAGAAATTAACCTACGCAATACCTGGTTAGAACTTGCTAAAAGTGATCCTGCTACTTTATCGGCTCATAGTAAAATTTATTTTTGCGAAGATCACTTTGATGTAAGTACTCATTGAATAATATTTTAAGTCTCTTCATTTATTATCAGTTTTAATAATACAAGTTTTAAAGTTATGTTTGAATGACATTTAGTTGTTTACTAAAAGAGACGTCACAATCATGGCGGATGTGGCGAATAGCGTTTTAGTGTTTAAAAAGTATAGACTAAAAATTATTTTTTTAAATTAAATTTCTACAGCAATCTTCTGCTTTTATGAAGTGAAATCGATATATTTAGGTTCCTTAGACCAAATATTTTAAGAAATAAACATTTATTTAATACAATTCGACATAAGTCAACTAGCCTATTGGAATAGCTGACTACGTAACTTTCAAATAGATAAAGAGGACTGCCCATTTACTAATCAAATGTGATGTAAAACTGAGCAGATGAGTGAGAGAGTGACGAAGCTGAAGCGTTAGGGTAATTTATAGTTTAGGGTAGCTCGTCTATGTATTGGTTGTGTTTTGTCTCTTTCTAGGTTTTTGTCGCTCGATTTCATACCAGTGTCCTAAACGGGCCTACCAACACCTTAATTCAGGGTAACGACAGCTCCTTTCCTTTGTCGTTTTCTCCATCGAAATATAACCAAGGGTGCGCACTTTGATAATTTCGTCAGATGCGGTCACGTGAAGCTCGGCGACTTCCGTTCTTATGCGTGCCTGTCAGAAGGTGGTTGTTTATCACTCGCGGACTAACTCAGGCATTTGTGCCTTTTCCCCATTTTAAAAAAGCTGGAATAGGTTTTCATATATAAAATCTCGTTCAGATGCGGTCACGTGAAGCTTGCCGACTTCGGTTCTTGCGCGCGCCTGTCAGAGGGCGGGGGCGGTTGTTCGTCGCTCGCGGTTGGAACAGCTGACTACGTGGCGCCCGAGTTGCTGGCTGCGGCGGACTGCGCGCGCCGACACACTGTCTGTCAACAGTACTGCCGCGCGATTGTTACCAACGCCATTGTGGGTTCGCGTGCACGCTTCACTTAGATGTGTATCATGAGGCTGGGGAGGACAAATGTGTGCTATATATACGTACAATAAAATAGTAGGAAAGTCAAACCTGTACATTGAATATTTTTTTAAAAGAATACTTGGGGTGTGATCTACAATCGATAACGAAGCCAAAAATATAGTTTTTAGAATTTATATCTGCTTGTCTGTATGTGTGTCCGGGATAAACTCAAAAAGCACTGCATGGATTTACTTCAAATTTGGCACGAATATTATTAAGAAGTCTGGTCAACATATAGGCTACATATTATCACGTCATCACCTACGGGGAACGAGCAGTGAACCTTTATTTCTAACTAACTCCCGTCGAACGCGTACGAAGTCGCGGGCGGCCGCTAGTATACTTATAAGAAACTATCCATTAGTCCATCTTAAGTTCTCACAGACAGACGCGGCCTGCGGTCGTGGCCGGGGTGGCGGCCAGTTGTATTCCCTTGCAATGTAAGCTAGTTTTGAAACACGACTGACCAATAAGGGCTGTTCGTGACCGCAGACCGCCTCTGTCTGTGAGACACTTTACTCAGGTGGACTTTAAAATAACGTGATAAAATATAGCCTGTTACTCAGCCCCCTTAGCATGAGCACCTCGATATGATGTGCCATAGCTGTTTATCTACACTTAAAGTTTTAATGGTCATGTTAAAGGGACAGGAATATGTAGCTCTCTAATGGTGACTGATTTTTTGAAATCATGCTAATAGTATTTTCATTTATTCGTTAAAATCGTCATCATTCCCCTTTATAATATTAAGTAAAGTATATAAATAATATCGAAAAGTCCTCCTATCGTTTTTTAATCATTATAAAACTGCTCTCCAAGTGAGATTTTAATTTAACTTCCCTACCTAACCAAAAATAATGTTTATGATTTTTTGTTACAAGTAAACACTATTTTATTATTTGAAATGTACTATGCACACAATTGGCCTTCTCACCCGTTTTAGCGTTATTCCAGGGTTGCGGATGATGTGATTTAAGAACTTTTTGCAGTCCGACATTGTTAATTAAAATTAATAAATGAAATAACACTGTCAAATAACAAAGATGTTTATCTGACTTGAATAAAAAACTAAGTAGATGACGATGTCAATTCTGCCATGCTTTTCTTAACTTAAAACTTAATTTTAAGATCAGTCTCTCCTCTTCATTCTTCATAGAGAATGAAAAGGATACATTGCTGTCAAATAAAAGGTTAGGTTTAGAGAATCCCGCCGGAATCGACACCATTTGCACACGAAAGTGTGATGAATTGAAATGTGTCTTTACATAAATTCTTTATATTTATTTGTTACAATGTCATAGTAAAACCACATCGTACAATTAATGTGTATTCATAAAATCACTAATATATAACAAATGTGTAAAAAAGATTACAAATTATAAAACACGAAAAGCAAATATTTTTTATTCGCAACTCTAGGTATCTCGTTAACAAACTCTGTTGATAATAGAATGCAAATAATAATAAAGCACTTTTTAAGATTGTAACGTTACAAAATTTAACACAACAGAGAATTTAATTGGCTGCTTAGCATGAAAAGTAGAAATAACATTTAATGTTAGTAGATAGATTGCCTGGAAATTTAATTTAAATTGTGGTTGTAGAAAAACTAGTGTACCTAACAGTAATCGGTGATAGTTTGTGGACAAGGTAGCTAGTGTTGAGAATTCATTTGTAATTTTCCATTGTAATTATATCGATTTTCTGGTTTTATTACGTAATTTGTAATTTTTAATGCGTTTATAATTTTATTTTTCTCTTGGACAGACGGCTTGCGATTACTGGTCTTTGGGTGTGGTGGCATTTGAATTGGTAACACTCAAGCGACCCTTTTCATCGGGTGACGAAGATTCTATCGCCGAAATACTTGCCAATATACAAAAGTAAGTTAAAGCTATGATTATCGACAGTTTACGACATCACTACGCAGTCAAGATTTTAGACACCTAAATTTTAATATTGATACCTTTTTGATATTGATAAAATCGACCAGCATCATTTATGCATGCATGGATTTCTGAGATCTCCTCATAAATAGTATTTGAAAAAGAACTCTACTTGTCCATTAATCACTTGAGGTACGAATTGGTCGGTTAAACCTATAATTATTACAAGTGCGAAGGGACTGAGGTGGCGTTGACTTTTGGTGAGATTTGCTGTGTTTTTTAAATAGAAAGATGAACTGTTTTCTACCAAATAATACACGTAATTAATGGACTTCCTTTTATATCGCTTACGTTTATATACCAAGTCAGAAAAATAGTTATTAAATTATAGTTAATTATTGTTATTCTATTGAAAGATATGAACGCGACCCAGAATCGCAGCCTTCATTCGATCCATCTCCGAACGGTCCATCGAATGAATGGCGGGCGTTGGTAGCAGGATTGCTTCGAGTGACTCCGGCAAAACGCTACAGCTACCTAGATACGCTGCAACATGCCGCCTTGGCGCATACAGCCATGCATTCTATACGAGAACAGGTAGATAAAGTTGATTCTAGGAGTTCATTAAATAACTTAAAATGGCAAAGTTTACAAGAAATATGGTCCTTCGAGCCGGATGCAGCATTTTCCCCTGGCGTATACAGCCATGCATTCTATACAGGAACAGGTAGATATTGTTTGTTTCTTGTCGTCGAATGAATTGCGGACGTTGGTAGCAGGACTGCTTAAAGTGACTCGGGCAAGACTTGTATACTATACGAGAACAGGTAGATATAGTTGATTCTAGGGGTTCATTAACTTACTTAAAATGGCGAAGTCTACGAGAAATGTGGTCCTTCGAGCCGGATGCAGCATTTTCCCCTGGTGCATACAGCCATGCATTCTATATGGGAACAGGTAGATATTGTTTGTTTATTTTGATTAATTGTCTAACTATAACAATCATTGTCATCGAATGAATGGCGGACGTTAGTAGCAGGACTGCTTAGAGTGACTCCGGCAAGACTTGATACTCTGCAGCATACCGCCCTGGCACATACAGCCATACATTCTATACGGGAACTAGTCGATATAGTTGATTCTGGTGATCAATGGCCTTATTTTAATAATCGTCATCATAGAATGAATGGCTGGCTTTGGAAGCGGGACTGCTTAGAATGACTCCGACAAGACGCTACAGCATTCCTCTCTGGCACATACAGCCATGCATTCTATACGGGAACAGGTAGATTAGGTGATTCTGAGGGTTTATTGTTTCACTTTAAGAAAATGGCCAGGTCTACAAGAAATTTGGACCATCGAGCTGGATGCAACATACCTCCCTGGCGCATGTATTCTATACGGGAACAGGTAGATATAGTTGATTCTGGGGGTTCATTGTCTTACTTTACGGATACTCATCCCGAACGACGAACATGGCCCAGTCTCCATATTTTATCCACTGAGAAAAATATGTGCCCGCGCAATGGTAAAATTAACAGGCTGACACAGAGCACCACCGCCGCTAGTCTTCATTACTAGATTTTTTTTCTAAAGAAAAGTTTACTAGAAAAAATCCACGCGGACCAGGCAGCGGACGGGACCTGGTCCGCGTGGATTTTTTTCTAGTAAACTTTTCTTTAGATTTAAACATCTAGCAGTTCTAGCTTAAATCCAAAGAATTACATCGAAAGTGTGATAAAAACAGCCTCACGCAAACTCGGAGTCCTGAACAAGGTGCGGCGTTTTTTCGCGCCCGAGCAACTGTGCTTGTTGTATAAGACGCAGGTGCGGTCTTGCGTGGAATATTGCTCGCACCTCTGGGATGGCTCCGCTAAGTACTTGCTCGATGCTTTGGATAGGTTACAGCGGCGCGCAATCCGCATCATAGGCGATGAGGAGGCGACTAAACACCTCGAGCCTCTTCAATTACGCCGTGACGTGGCGTCACTAAGCGCGTTCTATCGCCTGTACCACGGCGAGTGTTCTGAGGAGTTATTCTCTCTTATTCCACCTTCCCCTTTCCTTCAGAGGACCACGCGCGCTGGCTTACGTTGTCACCGTCTAACTGTGGCTACAATTCCAACGCGTACAAAGAAATTTGGTGACTCATTTCTTTGTCGTACTATCCGTAAATGGAATGCTCTGCCCGCTCACGTGTTCCCTCCCTCTTACAATCTGGGATCCTTTAAAAGAGGCGTGAAGAAGCAACTTGCAGGCCGGCAGGGTGAGGATGGCTGGTGTGGCAGTTAGAACTGCTGTATCAGCTATCTTCGCGTCTGGACTTCACCTTCACTTAACATCAGGTGGGGTGGAGTCATTTGTCGGATCTATCTATAAAAAAAAAAAAAAAAGTTAAATGCTTAAAAAATAAATAAAATCATACTAGTTTTTTGTTTGAAGTTGAAATCGCTAAAGATGTTGCGTATGGGGAAGGTTAACCGCTTTTTTGGTTACAAAGGTCGATATAGGTCGCGGCTGCATCTGCAGTATTCAGCACCCACCAATCAGCACTGACACAGCAGCGTCTGCAGCGGCAGTCGGGACCAACGGCTTAACGTGTCTTCCGAAGCAGTGAGGAGCTCAAGATAATAGTTTTTGGACATTTATGCAGTGGCTGACTGAGCGTATGAAGTTTTTGGACATTTATGCAGTGGCTGACTGAGCGTATGAGCTGAGTGCGAAAGTAGTTTAAATTCCACGATCGCCCACCGATTTCGTTAACTACCTGCGCCATTGAGCTCCTGTTGAAGTATGCAAAGCGGCGCTCGGACGTTTTTTGGTGACCTTTTCTTTAGCGATTAGGAGTCCTATTTGTTTATTAAACGACAATATTATGATGATAAATTATAATAATATTAGAAAAATTTCTAATATAGTCCGTGTACAGGACCCTCACGGGTTCCCCGTTAGCGAGAAGCGGAAGACGCATCGTACTTCCGCATGGAGCATATTAAAGATGTATTCGTGATGTATTACGGTTCATTCTCCCTATTCCATCCTCAGAGAAAACCAGTGCCCAAGCAGTGGGGACTTAATAAACTGATGGTGATGAAATATCGATTTAGGGTGATAACCACTGATAATGATGATGATCATCATCAGCTTATTAATGTCCCCACTGCTGGGGCACAGGCGTTCTCTTATGGATAGAATAGGGAGATTGGGCCCAGTGTGGATTGGTGGGTGTTAGCGATGCAGATGCAGCCGTGTTCAACGGCTTAACGTGCCTTCCGAAGCACGAAGGAGCTCGAGATAGTAAATTCCTGGTCACCCATCCAATGTCCGACCACTGCGAAAGTTGCTTAACTTCAACGATCGCAGCCGAACGCGCTAACCTTGCGCCATCGAGCTCCTCAATGACCACTGATAATAATAATAATAATAAAGGAGTCGGGATGTGACGACCCCATCGCCCACTGGATTTCCAGTGCAGTCAGTCAACGCAGGGCAGCTTGTGGCGAGCTGGTGGTGAGTGGCGACACCACGTACCCTACCTCCAGGGGGACCATACACACATGCGCTAACACACACACATACACACAGTTACACACCCCCCGCCTCTGTCTTGCCTTAACCGGCCGGCCAGAGAGGAGTCGCAAGAGCAGGACATACGCTCCAGGGTGGAAGTGTATTGCACGTAATGGCGTAATAACGGGGAAACCCGCTCTCGGGGGTAAGCCCCGTGATGGTGAAACCGGTGCCGCACCTCTCGACACCCTCAGCTACTCACATTGTGTTGCGCCCTGGCCGCAACTTCGTGGCTAGTCAGGGTGCCCACAGGCTGTGTAGCCAACGAGTAGCAAGTCACCATCTACTAGGCTAAAATTGTTGTGAGAGATTTTTAGGTAGATGTCCGTATCTCACTCCATAACCCAATTATCCGGTCCACTAACATCCAACCCTCATAGCCCAAACCAAGTAAATCCCTCCCTAGCAAAAGTTCGCCAGCTATGGAGGATAGATGCAGCCATCTCACTTTTTAGAAAAAGGTACTTAAAGGTCTCTTCATGTTAGCTTTGGCCCAATGAATGCCTTAAAGGACCGGGTCTCCCATGGATCCGTGAATGAAAAGCGTACCGACATAATAATCATTTATTTGCCAAAATATGGTTACAATAGTTGTTAGTTCTTTAGGTTCCATATTTTGTTGTCAACATGCAAATATTACAGATTATAGAATGAATGAATGAGGTTCAGTGACGTAAAATAAAATTAATAGCAGCATTTTACCTGAAATAAAATGCATATTAAAATACTTACCTCACTGAAAGCTTTATATTGAGATAGCACTTCCGTTTCCCGTCGAATTACCATCAGTTTCCGTACTTTTATTCACCTTATATCCGGTCCAGTGGCGACACCTGGCAGAAGCGCGGCCATTTTTGTTTTCCTAAGTTTTGACAGCGCCATATTAACTCATTGGCTCAATTATTTCACCAGGCAGAATTTAAAGTGAAAGCTTTCAGTGAGGTAAGTATTTTAATATGCATTTTATTTCAGGTAAAATGCTGCTATTAGACTACTTGACCGTCACTGAAAGCTTTATATTGAGACCTGTTTGTTATCGCCTGGTGATCGCCACGTACATAGATATATACGCCAATGTGACAATTTATGATAAATTTAAATATTAACATTTATCAGATTATATGAAACTGTATAAAGAAACGAGTAAGCTTAAAAATCAATCAAATAATATTATTTGAATCACGCCTTTAATTTCTTCAAGCTTACGAAGCTGCTTTAACATATGTATTAGCTGATCGCTATATTTCTTTGCTTAAAACTCGCGAAGTATATATATATATACTTCTACATATATTTGCTTTGTTAATGACCGGACGCTTCCTTGTGTAGCATTCATTTGTATCTTTGTATATCACAAATAAGGCGTACGAACGCGAGAAAAAGATGTAAAGTTGTTCGATACTGAGTCTTACATTTTACAAGACTGTACTTTTTACTTAAGTACCAAAAATCAGGGTCCCACTTACGATTACCATTATTCGGTACAAGTCACCAATCGGATTGTCTTTAACTACTTTCACCTGTTTTGAACCAAAACAAGGCTAAACTAATCTTCGTCGGTACAAATACAATGATTCGGGATAATTTGAAGTAGGAACAAGTCATGTGTACCACATGCTGAACCAAATAATACGCAGCATAATTACTGTATGACGTTCAGAACAACATATATGACGAAGTATTTGAAACAGATCATTATGATGTAACGAGTACATTATTGAAGAAAAGGAAATAAGTTAACTTATGGACACAGAATAGTAGGTTACGGACTGATTCTTTAAAAACAATCGACTTCAATATATGTGTTTGCCAAGACAGGTGAGCTTAGGTAATTAGACTTATCATCCATTGGTATATCATGTAAAAACTACTGACTTATTTAAAATAATGGTACTTATTTTAAGATAAGTCACGAGCTAAAAATAAGTCTCTCGAAAATCGTGTTAGTTCAGAGCAGAGTCCACAACTTGCGGGATTATTCCGATAAACATTCTTGTTCCTAGACCAATGCAACCACGCAAGCCAGCGTTTCCGAGCCATCTCATAGCTGTTTAAGACAGAGCTGTCGCTCTTTGTAGAATATGTTGAAAAGCGTAGTGCTAGCATATCGTGCCGTGTTCTTCAACTATACTTCCCAAGCTTTCATATTAGATTGGCGGGAAGTGATTGCAAGGTCGATTGCAGTGAATTCATAATTATTGTTAGAAGTAGGGAGTGGTTGATACAACCCCACGGAATGACAAAAATGTTGAAACCGATCAACTTCTGAAGTTTACGTTTTTACAACGAAATTCTCTGGTATAGTTTTTATATTGTTGCTGGGTTGCCGTGATAAATTATGCTATTACGAAGTTCAGACCAGATTTTATGAAATTCATTTGCCATCCTGGAATCTATAATTGATTGTAATTTTTCTTTTGTTTTTCAGTTCTTAGATCTGAGTCATTTATATGTATTACTTAATACTAAATAAAGATTTAGCTATTTATAAGATTTACATGAGGTGTGCATGTACTATGCGTAGGGTTTGAAGTATATTTATTCCAGACAGTCGTGGGAAGGTTAAAAAGCGTAAGTTTAATATTAAGAACAGTTTTCAGTAATTTTTACTAAAATAACATAAAGGGGATAATTGCATACAATGATCTTCAAAACCTTTCAAGAATTTGGTAGATCGTGCAATCTTTCTTCAGTAACTAGCACGACTTATATATCAAAATGATCATGTTGGCCACCTCAGACACCACATACACGACATTTCTAATATTGCAAGTTTCTCTCATTACGCGATCAAAAGAGTGAGCAACCCATTTGGTTTACTTTTGTTATTTTCAAGAGAAAATATGTTATATTCTATTTATCTGGCAGATAGTCCTTAAATTGCAGAAAACTTAGAATTCTTTACATATTTATAGTGTACTGCACTTGAGATTGGAGTTTGATATATATTGGATTTAGATAAACAAGCTTTTGAATGGCATGCGATACCATTAAATTTATTTAAGAATTATTTATGGAGCTCCCAATTTATCAACTTACCTGCACTAAATTTTTTCAAACATTAATTGTGTCGATATTCCTTTTTCTTTTGAAATGCATTATATATTACGGTAGAACAACCGTAGTGATCGAGTCAACACTTCACACCAATTAGCCTAGCCTTATAATGGGCATTGAAAGGCTTGTGTTATGGGCTAACGCCTAGAAATGCATAATGATGATGCATAGATTAGAATTTATTAGATTAGATTTTGAATTCATATTTGTTAACAACCAAAACTTAGGCACAGATGCTCGTTTTTATCATACAATGATTTGCCCCACCGGGGTGAACCCAAGACCTCGGAGTATGCGACACCTTAAAAACCACGTACATTGCACTTCCCAACGGGGTACGTCAACATTCGATGTTCGATCTTTATAGTCTATTAAGAGGGTAGTTTATAGCCGATACTTATGTGTGTACGCAAGCCATGAGCGGGTATGTTGCGTTGCGTTGATGTATGGATTTCCACGCGATGGAAGTAATGAATTATGTCAAGCGACATTTATTATATTTTCAATTTACTTATTTTTAATGTTTCGAATCATTTACACTTTTACAGACCCCATGGTCACAAAAATAAATTATGAATCACGAATAGACTACATATTAAATTATGCATAATTTGCTCCACTCGAGTGTCGTATGTTACCGGTGCTTACATAATAGTACGAACTCCATAAGCGAACATGTTCTAAGGAGAACACATATTGATATTCACGTAATGGAAATAATATATTATGTGTGATATGACCCCACAAGGGCGATTATAAAATTGATGAGGATATTTCTCTATCAACGATGTTTTGTTACTGATACTTGTATATGTAGGCAAGCCATGGAAGGCAAGTCCTTATTCATAATGAGTTCCATACGGAGGAAGCAAATTATACATAATATGCCCCCGCGAGGGGCGGTCATCAGAGTTTTGGTAATATGCACGCCGCGAAGGTGGTTTGCTACCGGTACTCGTATATGTAAGCAAGGCATTAGAGGTATTTCATAAGGTTTCACGTAGTGGAAACAAATTGTATATAATATGCACCCCGCGAGGGTGATTTGCTACCGGTACTCGTATATGTAGGCAAGGCATTAGAGGCATTTCATAAGGTTCCACGTAGTGGAAACTAATTGTACATAATATTCACCCCGCGAGGGTGATTTGCCACCGGTACTCGTATATGTAGGCAAGGCATTAGAGGCATTTAATAAGATTCCACGTAGTGGAAACAAATTATATATAATATGCACCCCGCGAGGGTGATTTGCCACCGGTACTCATATGTGTAGGTACGCCATGGGAGGGCATGTCCTGACACGCCTTGGGCATCATGAGATGAAGCTTATGAATATCACTTGCCTCTGCGCTAGTTGCTCATTAGGTTGATGAAATGTCAATCACTTAAATCCATGACAAATACTTACTTAATACGATAAAAACAACCTCATAGATGGTATCTTATTAAGTGGTGCTTCATCACAGAGATCACTAACTTCTTGCAGTGCTTTAGTTTTTACTTTTTAGCTTTGTGCTAGCTGTAAAAGACCTAAGAAACGATTCTGTTATCTTATCACTTTCGTTATTAAAATTAACTGAGCAGGTGCCTTCCCGCAATGATTCATTTTTATTTTAGAAATATACAATTGCTGAAAGAAAATTAATGTCAGGAACGTGATATATCATAAATTATCATCATACTTCTTTACCTCGTTGTTTGTTTCCAGGTTGATAAAGCCTGGACTATGATTATAATTTTTAATTTACGTCAGCATATCATTTAAAATAAACTTTGAATGTCTTTCGAACAGAGCGTTCCTTTATCCTAGTTTAGTCACACGACTCATATGAGAATTTTTATTACGTGTATTGGTCAGTAAAAATGTTAGAACTTTTTATTCATAAGCCTTTAGATATTGATAGCTGGCCATGTTCAGAAAACGGCATATCGACATTAGAAATACCTTATTAAGATTGTACATAGTTCACTTACCCCTCGAACAATATTTTAATAAAAGGGCTGGAATATCAAGCTCGCTTATTTTTCTTGAGTCAGCGATGTCACTTTCGTTATACCAGAAGACGACAAATTCAACCAATTTTTACTGCAGCTGTTCGAAGAACAATAATGACTAGATCCACACATCTTGCTGTTTTTGCCAATAATGCCAGTCAGTCGGCGGCTGAAAAGTCAATATTGACCGATATTCCTTCACTCTAAACTGTAAAACAATTTAATTAAGTATTTTGTAATACATTTACCAATTTACTTTCACATTTACTTATACGGAAACATTAATTGAGTACCAAGAGAAAACACTCTTAAAACAGTTTTTATGATAAACGACCAAGACAGACGTAAAGTATTGCAAAATTTACTTTAATGTAGGTACTTTAATTTTTTAAACAAAACGCACCTTGAATTGCCGTTAAGTTTTACTCACGGCTTATTATTACTTTTTCAAACAAGCGTATTGCACAATTTAACATATTTGTTTTAAATATCCCTTATCACAAGGGCTGCAAAAACTATCAAAAAGAATAATAGTTTTACTTACGATTCCTTCACTTTTGACACGTAAAGTACCTATTTGGAATAACACGAACGGCAAAAACCGTTAAAAATAAAATAGTTTTACTTACAGTTTTATCACTTAATAAGAATAAAACCATTAAAATCTCACAACGATCGCTCAGATTGAGGACGTGTTGCTTCGACGGGAGTCAGAACGCCAATGAGTTAATATGGCGCTGTCAAAACTTAGGAAAACAAAAATGGCCGCGCTTCTGCCAGGTGTCGCCACTGGACCGGATATAAGGTGAATAAAAGTACGGAAACTGATGGTAATTCGACGGGAAACGGAAGTGCTATCTCAATATAAAGCTTTCAGTGACGGTCAAGTAGTCTAATTTAAAGATAATAGTAATATGCAATTTCACAAAAAAGAAGTACTACTAATCTATTCATAATTAAAAAAGTCAGGAAAAATTGCATCAATTTTGAATTAAAATGGCAGAAAATTACATATATATAAGATCTACATAATCATAATCATAATCAAAATCATTTATTCAGTTTAGGCTGTTACAAGCACATATGAATGTCTAGAAGCTACGCCATCGGTTCGTAAATCTACGGCGGGAGACCTTGTACTGAGAAGAACCGGCAAGAAACTCAGCAAGGGCTGTTTTTTTCTCCCTGTTTTATTATTTACAGAGTCGTCAAATTGAATGAATGACAAAACAAAGCAAAGGAGAAATCACGACCACGCCGTTTTGTCAATCAAATATTCTTAAACAGTCTGGTAATCTTACTTAAGTTATTAACTTTATATACAGCTTTCAGTTTAATTATATATACATATTTTATTCTATTATATTTTTAATTAAAAATTTCTTTACATTTATTATGATGTTGATGAAATGTCAATTTAATCCCCATACAGGCCCCTCCATGGGTTCCCCGTCTGCGTGGTGCGGAAGACGCGTCGTACTTCAGCGTGGAGCCTCGAGCGTCGGCGCCGCCATCAGCCGCGCCATTCCGCTCGCGACCGCCCTTCGCCGGACAACTCCCTTTCGTAGGTAAACAAACATTTATTTTATTTTATTTATAAAGGTACATTAAACAGCCAAAGGCCAGCAAAAATGTACACAGCTGGAATAACATAAGTAAACCTTAACATAAGTTAAGTTACCAAAAAGAAAACATAAAAATAAAAAAAAAAGCAATGACGAAATAGTCTTCTTAAGTGATGAAACAAAGTGTAATTTTTAAATTTCTGTTTTGGTCCAAAATATATATGTATGTCTCTAAATTTTGAATTGTATAAGTGTGGCACGCGCGTAACGATAGAATGGTTCCCATATTTTGTACGGTGCAATGGAACATGAAAAAGAGTGAAGTGTGACGAGTACGATAATTAGGTACAGATAGCGAGAAGCCCGCAAGCAGCTCAGGGCAATCAAGGTGGCCGGCCACCTATCACATTCAACATTATACTGTATGATAACGTATTATACTCCTGGACACATCTATCGGCCCAGCTAGCATTTTTAAGTTTTGGCCAATATGGTTTTGATGGTCCCTAGCTAGAATAATTGTTGCATTGAGCAAAAAGTTTTTACTGCGCGGTTTTGAAGCTGATTCATTAACCATCTTTTTCTTGTGTTTTTAAAAAAATATTATTTGCTGAGGAGTACTTAATTGTATTTTTGCTACAGACCGTTGTACAAGTGAGCCAGTAGATGTGTCCGGAAGTTTATAAATGTAACTGACTTTCGTAGGTAAAAACACACTAAGCATCTATATATATATATATAATAAAATGGTAGGAAAGTCAAAACTGTACATTGAATATTTTTTTAAAAGAATACTTGGGTTGTGATCTACAATTGATACCGAAGCTAAAAATATAGTTTTTAGAATTTTTTTGTATGTATGTCCGGGATAAACTCAAAAAGTACTGCATGGATTTACTTCACAATTGGCACGAATATTATTAAGAAGTCGGGTCAACATATAGGCTACATATTATAATGCTATCACCTACGGGAAACGAACAGTGAACCTTTATTTCTAACTAACTCCACGCTTACGAAGTCGCGGGCGGCCGCTAGTTATGAAATAAAATGCTACGCACCATATTAATTCAAAATGTTAAGAAAACAATCTTCTTCGCCGTTTTTAATTATAGTACGATGTAAACTATTTCTGTTGCGAAGTTAGCAGCGAGTCCCGATATGTGCTGGTTTCAGTTTAGTGACATACCACATGCGCCTACATTAACTCTCATACTTCACGATGGGTATTTGCTGCACCTCGACACATCCGCGTTTTGCATGTGAGAATTGATTTCTACATCATTTTACTATACTTCGCCGCGACTTGCGCTTGTGCGAATCCACAGACGACGTTAACTTTGATTAATATTTTTCAGTGTATTCAAAATACTTTGAAATAAATGTAAAGAAAATTTTACTTAAAAAATCCACCCAGATTGCAGAAGGAGCAGGTTCATAAGCGTTTTTGTAACTAAGATTGTTTTAATTTTGTCGATAATCCATTTTGGACTTTGGACTTGTGTAAAATTGAAAAAACAAGTTTAGAACGTAATTAAAGCACTATAAGTATCTTATATCTTAATGATAACCATTTTTTGAATATTTTATTTTCTTTACATTTATTTGATGAAATGTCAATTTAATAGGCTAGTTGACTCATGTCAATTTGCACTATACAAATGTTTTTTTTCTTATAATGGTTGGTATGAGGAACCTAAATACATCGATTTCACTTCATAAAATTAAAAGATGGCTGTAGTATTTATTTATTTATTTAGGTCAGCCAACGGTTGCTACATAGAAACTTACAATAAATCTTATCTACTAAATTTAATGTTAAATGTGCTAACCAGTTAAAGGCCAACACTGCATGCACTTACATATATTAGGTAAAGTGAACATTTTTTTTATATATTATAATAATAACAAAGATTACTTATATAAAAACTAATAACAGAGTCATGCATAAAGTAACCGATCATATATTCATTTTTATTTTAGAATTTGTGTTATATTAAGCTTTAAGTCTTATGTTTCTATCAACTGTCACTTAATGCTTAACATTTACATGCATGTCATGTCTCATAAGCCTCCAGAAATCCTTGTTTGAACTTTGCCAGCGAATCGTTATTGACATCTAAGGTCCGACTATATTTGTTGAGGAGTTTGCACAAACGAGGTATTGGGGAATTAGCGCCTAGGACAGTTCTACGCAAGGGTGGGATCAATGGTTTTATGGCGAGCCGTGGGTTTCTACGGGGAACGTTGAATTTTATTTTTCCTAGCAGTTGGCAACAGTCAATTTTGTTCCTGAGAAGTTTGTATAGAAACTGCAGATCCAACAAGTCACGTCGCTTATTCAATGGCATCATATTGAAGTAGAATAGTCTGTCACTATAGTTTCTAATCCTATTAGCAATTCCCGAAAAGCGTGCCAAATGCCACAGAAACCTCTTTTGAAGTCTTTCCAACCTTAGATTATGAGTTGAAAAATGTGGACGCCATACTACACTGCAATATTCAAGAGTACTACGAACAAAGTTGTTATACAGTAATTTTTTAGTTTCAGTTTTGCGAAATAATTTTCCATTTCTCATAATGAAACCCAACATTTTGGAACTTCTCTTAATTATGTGATCCATGTGCAGACCAAATGTGAGCTTACTGTCATATATAACACCCAGATCCTTAATATGGTGAACTTCCTGTATTAATTCGCCTGACACAGAGTAAGAGGAAGGAACACATTTGCGATTGCGAGAAAATCTCATGTAAAAGCATTTCTGGATATTGAGACTCATGTTATTGTTGATGCACCATTCCGAAAGTCTATCAATATCAGCTTGGAGCAACAGAGTATCATTGTGAGATTCAATCGATCTTGCAATTTTTAGATCATCAGCATATAGGAATGGGCAAGAGTTCTGGAAGCTTTCTGAAATGTCATTAATGAAGAAATTAAATAGGATGGGCCCAATATGAGAGCCCTGAGGCACGCCAGATGTAATGACGTGTTCACTCGACCTCGCCCCATTCATAACAACATAAAAGGATCTTGAGTCTAGATATGACTTAAACCAATTTAAAAGTGGTCCCGCTATCCCATATACTGAAAGTTTATGGACTAAGATGCTATGTGTGACTCGGTCAAATGCCTTACTTAAGTCTGCGTATATAACATCTATTTGCTTACGCGAGTCTATTAATTCGGCTAAAAATTCCGTAAATGAGACTAGATTAGTACATGTTGACCGAGCCGTAACAAAACCATGCTGATTTTGAGATATTAAATGTTTCATATGGTTTTGTAAAATTGGACACAGAAGGGACTCAAAAATTTTCGAGAAAGCACTCAATATAGATATAGGTCTATAACTTTTGACTAAGGTTTTATCGCCATGCTTATGTATGGGAACCACCTTTGCTTTCTTCCACACATCAGGAAACGTACCCGTTTTTAAGGAACTATCAAATATTTGACTTAATGGATCCACCAAATTAGATGCACACTCACTTATGAAAAATGGCGGAATCTCGTCTGGACCTGGTCCCTTGTTTTTATCTATCTTTTTCAACTTTGACTCTATTTGGTGCCTGTCAAGTGCAATGTTTGAAAGATATTCACAAGAGACGTAGAAGTCTGGCTTATATCGTTCCTCTTGATGCCCACAGTATACGGTTGAAAAATAAGTTGCATACATGTTACAAATTTTAGTATCGTCACTCGATGTATTTATTTCGTCAGACATCGTGGTCGGATAAATACTTTGCCCATCTTTTTTATGTAATTAAATTTAAAAAATGGTTTTTTATTCTATGCGTTTTAAACATTCAAAACGTTGTCCACCATGATTGTGACGTCAACAACTTAGTAAATGTGTTAGTAAACAAGTAAACGTCATTGTCGTGTTACTATGATTTCTCGTCGGACTAAAATATATCTAAAAACTTCTTGTAGAAAAAAATCCGTTTATTGGTTTTGTTGACTAAATTAATGCTGGACGCCGGATTTGTGAAAGCAGAAACGACAAACGACTTTGACTTAGTAGGTACATTTTAACTTTAAATTGTATTTTTAAAAATATTATTCAATGAGTACTCACATTAAAGTGATGTTTGCTAAAAGAAATGACTTTCAGACGGTAAAATTACAGGATTTAGCAAGTTTTAAACATGACTGTGTTCATGTGTAGGTATGTGTATATCTTTAGATAATTTTAACCACAACTTTTCTGGAGTCTTTAACGATGTGTTTCTACATTCTCGTATAATACAATCATGATAATTATTATACTTATCATTAAAACCATTAGAAATCATGGTTTTATAATACAAATTTAGATTTAGGTTATTTCCTACGTGCTTCCGAATGTTTGTTTACGATTTTGTGAGGTCATAGAATAGATCATCTATAGACTAAAATAACTGACAGCGTTTTTGTCTGTCTATGAAAAATCTATTTTAAAAAAAGTTTTGTAGCTTTCTAGGTAAAAAAAATACAATACATTTTTTTTTCGGTCTAATAGAACAATTATTAACCATTTAAAACATATTACCAAAAAGTGTCAAGTAGCCTATTTATATTTTTTAGGATATTCATATGTCGCATTGGAAGAAAACGACGATAGCACTGGAGGATTCAACGCGTCACATGACTGCACTGCCATAGACTTGGCTACTTTTAAGTAAGTACTTTTTAAAGTGTCTTATTGTTACATTGTATGCTTTAAACTACTTTCACTTTTGCAGTGTCGGCCCTTGACCACCCGTTGATGTTTGCTGTTTTTTATAGGTCGGGATAGAGACGGTATAGTGCGATTCAAACTTTATAGCAGCGGTGAAAAAACAGCTTGTATTCTTTATATTGTTTTAAACTTTCATGATCACTAACATTATAGCTATTAACGGGATTGTTACCACGTACCTTGTTTTTATGAGTCTCTTGGCGCTTGCAACAGTGCTGAAATATCGGAGACTCATAAAAAACAATGTACATGGTAACGATCCCGTTAATAGCTATGAAACTTGTATTCTAGTAATATTAGTACAGCGCGGATTTCAGTTTACTGACATACCGCGCTCACGCGTTAACTGTGCATCGACTTGCGCTAAATTCCTATCAAGTTTGCATCGCACTGTACGAAATCTCTTAACTAATGTTCGCGTGGTAAACACTTATCTAATTCCGCACATGTGAATTTAATTAAAAAAAGTCCAACTTGAAACTTGACTAAAGCGCACGAAAGTGTCCTCATTTTTAAAATAGTATGTATATGTATATTGTAACCAGATCTGCAGAAAAATTAGCCATAATGCGCGGACGCGAGGTCGCCTCGCTACAAAGCAAGTTAGCAGCGGCCGAAGCGGCAACGGGGGCCGAAGCGGAACGAACGCGCCGCGAAGCCGAAGCCGAGGCTGAAAGGACGCGCGCGCGTTTACAGGCCGAGATCACTGCGCTTAGTTTACAGAACAGGTGATTTGAAAGATATTACTAGCACTTCTGTAAAAATCACAACACTTGAACGGACGCGCCGTGATCTGAGGCTCAGGCCAGGGGCGTAGTTACCCTAGGGCGAAAAGGGCCATGGCCTTAGGGCGGCTGCAGATTTTGCTAAGAGTAGCAGCAGCTATATAAAGACTTTCATTACTGACCTATATTTTGATTTCATTTACTAATTCTAGGGGGGAGCGGGGTGCAAATCCAGTGCCAGATTTGTGTGTTTATGGAAGATATTATGTAACAGTACTTATAAAAATCGCGCCAGAAAATTACGATCGTACAAGTTCTTTTTACTTTATATGGAAATTATAAGTATAGATAATAGGTTTCTATTTATTTATCAGGTTTTGACACACAGCAATAATTTTATATAACTTTTTATATATTTTATAAAATTCTTGACGTTTCGGATCCTTTTCATGTTGCGCGGTCAAAAGACTATATCCCCACAAAAAGTGTTTTATTAGAGGGTTATCCTACTTTGCAACAAGATAATTACCAATCACTGCTGCTCTAAATTGATAATTTTTCCTTCTACAATTTTACAACAGACGATTAGAGCGTCAAGTCGAAGTCGAGAAAGAGGAACGGATGGCACTCCAACGCACCAATCAGGAGTTATCTACGGGCATCGCCGAACGCAACGCGAGCGAAGTTCACGCTGCGCGAGCGCAAGCGGCGAGTTTGCAATCGGAAAGAGATGTTCTTAAGGAAGACTTGAGAAGATTAGAAGCTAGAATAGCTGAATTGCAAGGAGAATGTGCGAGAGCTACGGCCGCCGCTGATACGGCGCGTACGCAACACCAACACTACAGGGTAAGTTTATTATAAAGAAAAGTATAGTATAAATATTCTGTAAACCTAACGATGCAATCTGAGAGAGAAATGTTAAGTGCGTTTGAAGAAAGCTTGAGATGATCAGAAGCTAGAATCTATTTCTAGTGTTTGATAAAGAAGTGTATGGTGTGTGTAAAGAAACCTCGAGAGGATTGGAAGCTAGAATCGCTGAGTTACAAGGAGAATGTTCGAGAGCTACGGCTACACTCTACAGTATTGGTACAACACCAACACTAAAGGGTGAGTTGGATTATAAAGTATAGTTTAAATATTATGTAAGCCTAACGATGCAATCTGAGAAAGAAATGTTTAGTGTGTGTGAAGAAGGCTTGAAACGATTGGAAGCCAGAATCTCCGATTTGCTAGGGTAATGTACGAGAGCTACGGCCGCCGCTGATACGGGGCGTTTTCAATGCCAACACTACAGGGTGAGTTCATTATAAAAAAAAAAACTACCTGTGTCCTATGGTTTCACACGCGTTGATATGAATAAAAGAAAGACAATGACATGCTGTCGCGGACTTTTTTTTAGATTAAGAGTACCAACATGAAGCAATAGAGATTAAGAATATGATTTTTTTAAAGTGAATATTTCCATTATACATCATTTTTGCGTAATGTTTACGCGAGATTTTTTTACCGTTTTTGCAAAATTTTCATCTATGCTCTGGTCCTTTAGGTCGTGGCGGGATGTAATTATTAGTCTTCCTCGATAAATGTACACTCCACAAAAATCTTTTTTTACCTGTAGATCTTGAGATTAGCGCTTAGTTTAGCAGCGCGCTGACCAAAAACAAGACTATTCAGCTTTATAATGGTATCGATTCTGAGATGATTCTCTAAACTTAAAACTAAATTTAAGATCAGTCTCTCCTTTTCACTCTATGTAGAGAATGACAAGGATACCCTGTTGTCAAATTAAATTTAAGAGCCATGCCAGAATCGACACCATTATAAGTATAAATCAGAAATACGTACCTATAACTCGAAACTAAAAAACAAATTAAGTGAAAATAAAACCAGAAGAATGTGAGGTTAGGGGATAATTCTTGTATATGCAGTGTAATCTATAATTCTATGCTGACTCTAAAACCCGCTAGTTACATGAGTTTAAAAAATTCAATAAAATTATTTCATTTAAATGAATTGTTATTAATACAGGTATTTTATTAATAAGTTACTGCTTGTATTACCTATAGGATATAATAGAACACGTGCAAGAGCTACGGCATAGAAGGCTAACAGAAATCAACGTACGGGCTATTGTGAGTTGCCTTTTAAGACGTCAAAGTAGTATTTTGAGTTTGCTTATCAATAAATTTATATTAACATAAATACTAAAGACTTCACTCAGAGGCGTCTCTTTTAAGTATATGAGTGACATGTCGTCGTATTGTATTGTTATCGCAAATCAATTTACAGCACCAACTTTATTCAAACTTAAAAGTTAGTTGACATCTCTGAGGATCCTTTAATGATAGTTATTGTAGTGTTACATAGTCATTTGGCCTGTATATTTTATTGCTTATAAATTTCATCCAATACCAATCATTAAAATCATGTAGACTGTTCATAAACTATAAGTACTTAATTTATTTGGACATTGTACCTTGCATGTAATAATGTAACTGTAGAAGTAGAATAACTAGAATGTTATGTAAACGTTACGAGTCTCACAGAGTAATAAATATTACCTACACACTAAGAAATTATCACATATTGTAAACAAAGATATAAATATCTGCCAGATTCAACTTGCTTACCTATATTTTTATTATTATAATTCAGAGAGAGAGAGTTCTTAGCAAATATTTATGAGATATGAACAAAAATCGACCGGGCTCTGTAGTGACAGTGAGTGCGTAATTTCACCAATTTTTTGCAGTGATTAGGAGATAAATCGTGATCTATCAACAAAAGTGTATACAACTATTACTATACAGAGCCTATGGAATAAGGGCTCTTTAACCTGGAAGACATCACTCACAAAGAAACAAGAAACTTGATATCAAGCATACTACAATTTTAACAACATTTTAATAATCATAACTTACGTCTTTGTACTATTCAAATAGAGTAGCGGGTTTTTGCTATTAATTAATTATTGTAGATTGAGAATACAAGAGGCCCAAGCACGAATTTTGACAGCTCCGTAATCGTATCGTCATCGTAAAATTTTGTATACAAAGCTAGTTTGTGCTGTAGGGGCGCTGCTTTATTTTCATAGAAACTGACGATGCGATATGATTACGGAGCTTTCAAAATTCGTGCTTGGTCCTCAGTTGTGACTATAAATCTACAGGATTCGGTAGCGAAAGAGCGCGCGTTACGTCGCCAAACTCTTAGCGGTGGTGAAGCGGAGAATCGTGAGCTCGCAGCACGAGTGGCTACTGCCGAAGCGACGGCTACTAGGGAGACTCGGGCCCGCGAAAATATGGAGAAACGGCTCGCCGATTTGGAAGACGAATACGGTGCATTGCAAGCGGAGAACGCGGCACTACTAGCCGACTTGGACGCAGTGAAAAAGGACTTTAAAAGAGCGACGGTAAAGTATATTATTATGTAGTAATACCTACATCTTTTATAAGCAAGTAGTAAATATCAATGTTGAATTAAAGTATATCATAATATTTGTAGTCTTAAATTCCACCATATCATCACCTATTTAAATTAAAAAAAAAAACTAAAGTAACTAAAAAAAAACAGTGATACCTATTTCATCTGCCTTGAAAAATGTTATTGACATAGTGTCTTGATTATTTTACGGAAGATTCATGAAATAAAAACATTTGACCAGTTCTGAATTACTGCTGAACAATAATCTTTTAAAGAGAAACAATTTAAAGAATTGGAGATTTTGTACCTTTTTAAAAGTAACTTTTCTTTTCTTATCAGGAATCAGCAAATGAAAAGCATCGGTTAGTCGACGCATTAACAGAACAACTAAAGGACGTCCAGCAACAGGTTACACAAGATCGGGTCAGAATACCATCCCTTCTTGCTCAAGTTCAGGTAAGTTCATGAACTTATCTCAATCGTTTGGTTTAGTGCCTATTAAAAGAGTTCCCTCTAAAATTATAGAGCATTTCAAGGGAAACTAAATGCTAAAAATAATAATGTTTATTTATTTATTTTTACCCTTAGGTCATTTCGAATAGTTTCGAAGTTACCTTAATTTCGTTATAACTAACGGACTTTTGACTGACACTTTGGACTGTTTAAAAATTTTACGCTATTTATGTATATTTGTACATCTAATAATAGGCAAAATCAAGCAGCCTTAGTTTTTTAAAGTATTTTAGTTACTTAAACTATTTCTTGATTTCCAAGACAGAAAAAATCCTTGATAAAACTTGACGAAAATATTTATTATAAAACTTGAAAATAAATGTGTGCACATTGCTTGGGACAAAAACGAACTTAACTTGCACGTAGAAATATATTTAAACAATAAAATATTGACCTAAATAATTACTAGTGGTTAAAAATGCTCTGTTAGCAAAATGTACGATTTGATCTTACATTAGTATTAACAAAGCTGTTAATAACCAAGTCTTATTTTTAATAATTATTTATTTATTTACTTGAACAACTATGTGGTTAATAAAGCGTTAGCATCTATTTCACTTTATATTAGTAAATATTTAAAATAAAATCACAACCAAGATATAAATATAAAAATTCAAACTTAATGTTTGTCTACAATCTGCCTACCTGTGATACAGAGTTTCACCCGTTTATTTCTAAGGAGTGAATGATATCATATTATCATATTGATACCTACAGTCGTCAATATAAAAAATCAATTCAATCTGTCTATTTATTGGGTATACTGTCTGTTAGATGTAATAGTTAGTGGATATCATTATGTGTTAGGAACTGGAGCAAGGGTTAGAAGAAGCGGCACGGCGCGAGGCGGCACTGGAGGAACAGTGTTCTAGAACCGAGGCGAGACTGAGAGAGAGGCTAGAAGCAGCGGACGCTCGAGTCACTGCTGCCGTCAGCGATGAGGCACGCCATAGAGAAAAGGTATCATCATCTAAATTAATTCTCCACTGCTGAGGCACAAAGCCTTCCCTATGAATGAAATAGGGAGATTGGGCCATGTCCCACCACAGGGACCCAGTGAGAATTAGTAGATGCTAGCGAAAGCAGATGCAGCCAGGACCAAAGACTTTAATTGTCTTCCGAAGCATGGAAGAGCTAGAGATAATAAGTTTTTGGTCACCCATCCAATGACCGACCATTGCGTAAGTTACTCATTTTTTAGGATCGCAAGCCGAATGCGCTGACCACCTGCGACATCGAAGTAAAAGGTATAGATGTATATAATATTGTTGGACGAGTTAGAATAATAAGAAGCGGCACGGCGGCGCGAGACGGCGCTGTAAGAACAGTGTTCTAGAAGCGAGTCGAGACTGAGGGAAAGACTAGAAGCTGCGGACGCGCGATCCAGCGATGAGGCACGCCATAGGGAAATGTACTAATGTAATTATAGAAAGCTCCTGGATGTTGCAATATGTGAATAATATAATGCTCGAGGAGATAAAATAAAAATCAATTACAATCACATTCGCCAGGAGATAAAAATAAATGCGTTCGATGCTAAATATCTTCGTATTTTATACTGCTCGATCTGCCGACATCTCTCTTTGTCATATCTCTCACACAATCTACTTGAATTTCCATCTCTGTGGCTATAAAAATAATTACTTTATCATCTACCACTCATTTGCAGAACTTCTTATAGCCGTTGAGATTATGAGAAGTGCTGTTAATTGCACGTATTATTTGCATATATTCTAGATCACCAACGGCGAAACTTATGGAACTGTATACTCTTTTACCAACTGTAACAAATTATGTTTTATGCCAATAAATTTTCATTTCAGCACCAACCTTAGACAAGTTTCTATTTGATAATTAAACAGGTGAACACACTAGAGCAGTTAGTACGCCGACTGGAGCGCGAAGTATCGTCGTTGGAGAATCGCGTGTGTGGCGCGTGCGCAGCCCGCTCGATGTCCGAGAGTGGCGACAACAAGGCGGACGCACACAGCGACACAGAGAGCCTCGCCGACGCCGCGCACGCGCAATTGGCACTGCTCAAGGAACAACTGGAGCGGGCCGAGCGACAGCTGCAGGTGAGGGGGGGATACTGTACCGATCGGGAGAGCCTCGCTGACGCCATCTGGCGCTGCTCAAGGAACAACGGGAGCGGGTCCAGTCCCAGATGCAGGTGAGGGGGGGGGGGATATTTTATCGCTAGGGCGAGCCTCACTGATGCCAGCTGGCGCTGCTCAAGGAACAACTGGAGAGGGCCTAGCGCCAGCTGCAAGTGAGGGGGGGGGGGGGGGGGATATTATTATACCGATAGAGAGAGCCTCGCGAACGCCAGCTAGCGCTGCTCAAGGAACAGTCATTTACATGCATACACTAACAGCATATTTTAAAGCCAAATCATTTTTACAGGCACGCTCTGAAGAAATCGCCACACTGAAACAGGAATGCCGAACCGCGAATCTCGCCAGGTGGCGGAAAGAGCGCGAATATAATGATCTCTCAACAGAAGCCAAGTCTACAGCGAGAGATCTCAAGAGGGCAGAAGAACGCCTAGCACACGCACAAGAAGCGCGTAAAACAGCTGAACAAAAAGCTACAGCTTTCGAAAACGAGATAACAACAATGAAACCACAGTATGAGCGAGCTAGTAAGGAAGTGTTAAGATTAAAGGAACGCTTGGAGAAGCTGCAGAAAACTCACGAGACTGCTCAGGCCGAAGTAGATAGGTAAGAGTTTTAGGTAGTGGTAGGCCTACTAGAGCTTTGTTACCAATATATTTTTATTATTAATACTATAATAATTACCGTTGCTAAGTAACGGAGCCAGATTATCCTTACCTTTTACTGGAGGTTGATTATTGAAACTGGCCGTAAATTGCTTTATATTAAGATTGGTACAACGAGTTACTCCCCTTTCATTAATAAAAAAAAAACACATACACATTTGTAGCATCTGTTAGTAACAACGTTTTCCTTTTGTTAGTAGTTCATATTAGAATGGAATTAAATAAACTTTTACTTCATACAAATATTGATTGATCATTTATCATAAGACGATATCTGCGGAACAAGTTCTTTTTACACACTCCGTTAAATCTACATACATTATTCCGCCACATTACTGTCAGTGAAATTATTATTATTTTTTCTCTGTAAATCAAGCAACTTTATTATGATTGCCATACGATAAAACCGCTTTCAATACGTAACAAAATTTATGACAGATCACGCAACGATATTCGTAAGCTGAAAAGTGAACTGCAGTACAGCGAAAAGCGACGTATGCACGCCGAGGAACAAGAGGAACTATCGAGTCGCGAACGTACTCAGCTCAGGGATGAACTACATCAGGAGCGGGCACAGAACACGCAACTCACTGAGGTAAGGAATATGGGCGTTATTGGCGTGTACTGTAATTGGGCATCTTCAAACATCGAATTTCGAGTTAGGCATACTTAGGCGCGGGCACAGAACACGCAAGTCACTGCGGTAAGGAATAAGGACGTTATTGGCGAGTACTGTAATTGAGCAACTTCAAACATCGAATTTCGACTTAGGTATACTCATCTAGATACAACGGGGGCCGTCAACTGACTTGATACTAAAAGATCTCTTTAAAATACAAACTTGAAGAACCTTTCGCGTATATTATTTTACTTTCACGTGATAGTTGGTTTTCGCTACACGTCGGCTCGGTTTCCTGAACTCAGTATAAATACGACACATATTAATATGGTATTCACTTGCACTTTAATATTAGATAGGGTTGGGGAATTGGCTGAGGTACGTATAAACGAAATATGTTTATAATAATTCTTAGCTTTATTATTTTTTTAAATATACATTGCTTATACCGAAAGTTATCTAACACCACTCGCCATCCAATTTCAATCTAACACTGAGATAACAGGATGTTTATTGTTAGTGAAACTGGACGATGTACGGTTTACATTCCTCTAATTGTTTATAGATCTTGAATTCTAGAAAGTCTGTAAACAACAATATCGTATACATTCTCCATTCAGATGGACATTCAATTCAGTTAAAGATTCGAAGTCAATGAAGTCGCCCGTCCACTCTTTAAATTTCCAATTTTAATTCATGAATTAGTCTTGTGTTTTGTGACGATGGAGCCTAGTTTGAGTGTTCGTTTCAAACGCAAGTTTGGTGGTGAGAAGCCCCCCATTCGACCTAAGCCGCCGTTTCTGAGGAACATCGTTAGCTTACTAACTTCCTTTGGTTATCACGCGAGAGAGAGCGCTTATATGCGTCGCGTCAGATTTGCATTAGTTGCAGACTTACTGCAAGGAAGGTGTCGAGCGACTGACAACGCCATCAACGCTATTAACAATCATATAGTGACGGTAACAGAGTTAAAAGTTTTGATTTAGTTGTTATGTTTGAATTTTTTGAGTGTCTTCACTTTCTGACTTCGAAAATTGAAAAAAAATCACGCTGTGGAAGTAAATTTTCACTGATTTGTATGTGATGTAATTTACATGAAGCAAGAATCAGAGAAGACGATATAAAAGAGAAAACTGGGTCCATTTCATTTTAAATCGGAACGAGTGCACATTGCCGACTTAAGTTTGTTTTTTGAGTTGCAACGCCTAGTCACATCATTTCTATTTATTTTTCGGGGATTCCCGCGTACTTTTGTCCTATCCTGTCTTCGGTCACTCGGTGGTTGTTGGGGGGACTTTTTGTACCCGGTTCTTTTAATCCATTTTGTGCGTTAATGCATCAAGTTGTACGTTATCTATTTCGGCGGACAAAATTATAAAGTATCAAGTATTCGCTGTAATGTTGTGGGTGCGATATTGCTTGAGTCCATCCTTTTTTTACATCTAAAAGAACTCTTGAATAGAAAAAACTTTTCAAAAGATCTGTTATTTGAACAAAATGTTTTTGATTGTGCCTGATTCATGACATGATTCATATTCCGCTCTAATTGGACAATTTTGTGGGAAAGTATTTTATAAAACTTTAACATATTCCTGCATTATAAAACATAGAATGGCAACATGTGAGCCGTTCTCCTACTGTCGCAATCGCAAGCGTCTATAGTTGAAGCTTAACGTCACGCAAGCCATACATTTGTTTGCCTTCCTTTCTAAGTAATAAAAATAATATTGTTGCAGAATAACAAAGCATTACAAGAAGCATGCAGTTTGCTAGAGGAACAGCTAACAGACTTGGAAAAGTTAACTGACATCCATGAACTTAAAAGCAAAGATCTTGAAGTGAGTATGAATGTGATGATCCATTTCATCATCATCATCAGCCTATTAATCTCCCCACTGTAGGGGCAGGCCTTTCCTATGGATGGAATAAAGAGACGGCCTTGACCAACCACGCGGGCGCAGTGCAGATTGGTGCGTGTTAACGACTGCAGATACAGCCGGGACCAACAGCTAAACGTATCTTCCAAAGCACGGAGGACCTCGAGATAATAAAGTTTTTGATTCTTGTACTTTTTGTAGGTTTTTTGAAGTTATACTTCTTTAGGCGCGTTATGAAAAAATGATGAGAGTGAAATTTTAAGATGCGCGCGCATCACTGTAACACAAAATTTTAACAGCATGAACTTCATGCGTTACTTTTGTGTTTACCGCACATTAAGAAAATCTACCAACAAAATAGAAATAGAATCTCTATTTAGTGGGTGCTAACGACTACATTGTGAAGGCCTATCAAAAGTATTTATTAATCTGGAACAACGGAACCAAAGCGTGATTCAGGAGACTACAGCGCCATCTCTTGACCATTGGTGTAGTAGAACCAAAAACCACATCTTTATTTTTTGTAATAAAGTAACAGTTATAGGTATTCATATTTATCCACATGTTTCTAGTTTGTATATTCGGAATACGTGTTTGAGTTTCATACAAGTGCAAATCACATATGTTCTAATAAATTATATTCAGTAGCGATTTTAATTGAATATTTTGATTATTTATTTATTTTTTCAAATTAAAACTGAACTTTATTGACTGTGTCCTTTTCCAGACTTTTTATTAATTTATTGTAATTAATTATTTGCATGCAATTAAAAACTAATTTTAAACATGAAACATATTTTCATTTGCTAAGCAACAAACTAGAACCTATCATCTGACAAATTAATATTTAATTAAAATTTGTATACTTACATTTTACCTTATGTCGGTTCATTAAGCTTTGTCTTTAATCAATAAATTTATTAAGACTGAAGCCTAAAACAAGCAAGCTTACATTTCAGGGATCTCCCCGTGGCTTAAGTATTTGAAATTTATTTGTGGCTCAACTATACTCTATTCAATTTCTTCTGAAACAAAAGGTAAACAAACCATAACAAGGCATTACAATAGGACGAATTTGAAACATGCATATAAAATCAAAATAAAAGGAGACATTAAAAAGATGTGGACCTTTAGCTTTTTCCAAACTTTAAATGCATTAAAATTCTTCTAAATTAAAGAGTAGTGATGAATTAAATATTTTTTTTGGAAGCTGAATAGAGTATAGAAGTAACTGCATTTGTGGTAGTATGAGCTACTATTTATTCAAGTATGTGTCGATACAATAGGCGGAGACGCAGCGGTTACGTAGTGAACTGGAGGGTTGTCGCAGCCGTCTTATGATAGTGGAACGACAGGCGGTAGAACGCGACGCGGCGGCAACGCTAGCGGAACAACAGCATATAGACGCGCGCGATATGGCGAGACAAACGCACTGCCAACTACAACTGCTGAGGGTAAAGATTTAAATAATACCATAACCTTTCAAGTGAACTAGAGTGTTGTCGCAGCCGTCTTATGGTGGTGGATCGACAGACGGTAGAACGCGACGCGGCGGCGACACTGACGGAGCAACAGCATGAAGACGCGCATGATACAATACAAAACTTTATTTTCACACCACATAAAACACGAAGTACATAATTAAACAATACAGTGTAATAATGGGCGGTCTTATCGCTAAGAGCGATCTCTTCCAGACAACCTTAGGATGGAGAGGACAAGAAAGAAGCTGGAGAGACGGCAGTGTATTTAACTACACAAAACAACATAAAAATCAATCAAACAAATATGATCAGAATAAGTATATAAAACAATACATACATACATATACCCACTCAAGTAGGTATATGTCTGTATGTATTGTTATATGTATATATTATATGTATGTTGTATTCATATACATGCATACATAGTTATATACATAAATATATATGATAAATGATATATTTGATGAATATACATGATTTAAAGGGCTACCACCTATCGGGATTGCTTTGGTTATTGCTATGACTTATGAATTCATTTTGTTATTCTGACCGCCGAAGGATTTCAAATCGCGCTCTTATTATATTGTTAATAACAATATTAAAGAAAATGAGAGCGCGAGCTATTTAAAAACCTACGGCGCGGCGGTCAGAAATAACAAAATGAAATCATAAGCTATAGCAATAGCCAAAGCAATGCCGATAGGCGGGAGACCCCCGGCGAGGCAAACACATTGCCAACTGCAACTGTTGTTTTCCTTTTATATTACATTGCAGCACACGTCATTCTCTTTTAATAATCAACTTTTTGTGTAAATTTCGGATACACCTAATTCGTTGTCGGCCGAAATATGCTCGGGCGATGAGTTCGCTGCTCTTTCTTTTACTTACGTTTGATTTGATTAGCCGTGTTCGGCCGATAACGGATTAGGTGTATCCGAGGCCTTAGGGTCCACCAGTCCTCAATAAATAATATTATAAATGCAGAAGTATCACGTCGAAATCGTTAAACAGATTTGGATGAATTTTGGTTTAGAGAGAAAATAGTTCTTAAAGGAATATATGAGTTACTTTTGGTATCGAAAATGACATTGGAATGTTGTGAAATATGGCATGAAAGCTTGTATGAAATGCAGGGAACCAAAAATTTTAGTAAACGCGTATAATAGGCTTGTGTCAACTAACAATAAATCGAATGGGTTACAGTTTCTAAATATGAATTATGATATACAGATAGCAAAAAATAAAGCTATTTATCATAATAATTAAAGATTATTATTATTTTTAGAAAATAAATTCGAATAAAATAGGCATTAGATCACGTGACGGCAAACACCAATCAAAAAGACTGACGTCACCACGTGCAAAACATTACTTGTGGTTGCCGTTTCCATACATTTCATTGATATCTCATTCATGTTATTGTTACTTTGATACAATTTATCACTTTGTTTTCAGATAAGTATTGAAAGGAAGCCTAATAAATCCATGGAATTGGGATTTACCGAAGCAAATAATAATATTTTAACCAAAATAAAAAATTAATCGCATAACTACTCGACATAAATAAGCATATCATTTGGCAACTAGAACAAGAATAAGATGTGTTTATTATTAAGAATAAATATACTGAACTCTCAAATAGACTCTAAATCATATCATAAAATTAAATCAACTTACCTAACCTCAACCTATTGTCATTGTTTTATCAATATAATGCAATATAATTTATCCGGCTTGTATAACATTTTGATTTCATTGATTATGTTATGCAAAATACTTACATCAAAATGTTCATCACAAAATTATTCTTGTATTTGTTGATAAACAATGAATAGGTATCATCCCTCCTTGCAAGTTCTAACTATTTTTTCCGCATTTGTGGCATATAAATAATTTGTCTGGCGTTTTATGCTTCTCCTTTTATACTAGGACACTATACAGTACTTGTAATACGATGGATTCATTTTTAACTAAATAATTTTAATAGTCGGCGTACAGCGTATTGTTTGCTTTGCACGGCGTGACGTCATTCTAGACGCCATGACAGTCTAGAGCGTTTTCGAGGGAAATTTGAATAATTTTTTTAAAATACAAAATACATATTGCTATTGTACTTTTTTATATAAAATAATATTTTTTTGGGGTTAAATAAACATCAAGGTATATTATTAACCACTTTTTAAAATATAGGCAACTAGCCTATTTTCTCTGGACTGGAGTTTTCTTTCGTAAAGGTTACTTTACATTCAAAACTACATATTTTCTAGCTTCTTACAAGTTATTTGTTTCTTAAGTTTTCACGCACACCATTGATTAAATAAAAAGCACTTTTTAACGGGTTTAAACTGCGTTTTTTAATGACCCACACTTTTTAAAGTGTTTTATACTTTCAAGTTTTTCAATAATTTTTGTTAAACAGGAACGGCTTGAGAACCGTGAAGACCGCGTGGCCGAACTGGAATCCCGCATAGCGACGCTAGAGAGCGACCACTCCGCCACTGAGGCAGCTCTCAATAGTGCGATGAGACGCGTGCGCGACTTGCAGGTAATTTTCATAAAACGGTCGTTTCTTGACCCTCCACGCCATTGGGTCATGGCCCAATCTCCCTATTCGATACATAGAGAAGGCCTGTGACCCAGCAGTGGGGGCATTGATAGGCTGATGATGATGATGTAGATGATCGATTCGTATTAATTTAATAGGGATGATGAAAGAGTAAAGAAAGTAAAGAGTAAACGAAATTCTATTTAATCCGTCAGTTAGTTTATCAAAAAATAATAGACACTCTTCTTTTGTTAATTAATCAACAATCAATCATGACGCTACTTTTTAGTTATTTTTTTATGAAAAACCTGACGTCACGCGACATTTCAAAGCAATATATCTCTGCAATGTTTCCAATACTTTTTGATAATATACCTGATAGACTAAGAAAAAATGTGATTTTTTGTTATTAGTCTGATTACACCGGCCATCTTGACTCTAAAAAAATTGTATTATTGGTTTACCTTATTCTTCTTTCGAGGAAGTTCAGTAGAGTATAGTAAAATATGAATGATATAACTGTATTATCAGGAGGAAAGCAGCGCGCTACGGACCAGAGCTCACGATCATCACTCGCACGCGCTGCAACTGCAAGCCAGCTTAGCGGACGCACAAGTAATTATACTATTATGTTATATTCGCACAGGAAATTACAAACAGTTTATATGTGGATTTATCTATTTATTAACACTAATTACAATCCTTTATCCTTGTATTCTTTTACACATGTTTACAGTACTTACTTTGTGGCTAGGCTAATTGGAGTGAGTGTAAAAAATATTTATCTATTTGCGAGCAGGAAGAAGCAGCCGCGGCCCGCGAGGCAGCCGAGGCAGCGGCGGCGTGGTGGCGGACACGCGAGACCAAGGCCGACGCCACGCTGCGGCAACAGGCCAAGCTGATAGACTTCCTGCAGGTACACAACATTAACGTTATATCACCGGCACATACGGGGCGTGTGGCGGACACGCGAGACCAAGGCCGACGCCACGCTGCGGCAACAGGCCAAGCTGATAGACTTCCTGCAGGTACACAACATTAACGTTATATCACCGGCACATACGGGGCGTGTGGCGGACACGCGAGACCAAGGCCGACGCCACGCTGCGGCAACAGGCCAAGCTGATAGACTTCCTGCAGGTACACAACATTAACGTTATATCACCGGCACATACGGGACGTGTGGCGGACACGCGAGACCAAGGCCGACGCCACGCTGCGGCAACAGGCCAAGCTGATAGACTTCCTGCAGGTACACAACATTAACGTTATATCACGGCACATACGGGGCGTGTGGCGGACACGCGAGACCAAGGCCGACGCCACGCTGCGGCAACAGGCCAAGCTGATAGACTTCCTGCAGGTACACAACATTAACGTTATATCACCGGCACATACGGGGCGTGTGGCGGACACGCGAGACCAAGGCCGACGCCACGCTGCGGCAACAGGCCAAGCTGATAGACTTCCTGCAGGTACACAACATTAACGTTATATCACCGGCACATACGGGGCGTGTGGCGGACACGCGAGACCAAGGCCGACGCCACGCTGCGGCAACAGGCCAAGCTGATAGACTTCCTGCAGGTACACAACATTAACGTTATATCACCGGCGCATACGGGGCGTGTGGCGGACACGCGAGACCAAGGCCGACGCCACGCTGCGGCAACAGGCCAAGCTGATAGACTTCCTGCAGGTACACAACATTAACGTTATATCACCGGCACATACGGGGCGTGTGGCGGACACGCGAGACCAAGGCCGACGCCACGCTGCGGCAACAGGCCAAGCTGATAGACTTCCTGCAGGTACACAACATTAACGTTATATCACCGGCACATACGGGGCGTGTGGCGGACACGCGAGACCAAGGCTGACGCCACGCTGCGGCAACAGGCCTAGCTGATAGACTTCCTGCAGGTACACAACATTAACTTAAATCACCGGCACATACGGGGCGTGTGGCGGACACGCGAGACCAAGGCCGACGCCACGCTGCGGCAACAGGCCTAGCTGATAGACTTCCTGCAGGTACACAACATTAACGTTATATCACCGGCACATACGTTCAAGCTAATTATAGTAAGGATATTTAACGTTTCTAACACAACTTGCTTTTTTTTTCAAAAAGCCGATATCGATTTTAGTAACATTAAGAAATGTCAGCTCAGTTGTCTAATGAAGCGTGTTTTCGCAATATCCCTAGAAATTTCGCGAAAATTCGAGTTATCAAATCGTCCTACGACACCAATAATCATAGTTATATTTTTTAACCATTAGCACGTTTAAAAGAACCTTTAAAAAAATATATTTACATTTTCAGGCTAAAGTAGAAGAAGCGGGTCGCAAGAAATGTTCTTTGAGCAACAAACTGTTTGGCCGCTCCGGACGCAGATCTGCCGCGTCGCCGCCTCTACGTCGTGCCAATAGGTTACAATTTCATTTAAATATAATATACCTCTTATTATTATTTTATTTTAACCTTTAAACTGCTATATTTATGAATATAAAAGAATAGAAACGTTACACTCGGTCCAGCCCCCTTAGCATGAGCACCGTGCTATGATATTTATCTCGATTTTATCTCGCTCGATTGTCAAATTACTATCGAGTTTGACAGTTAGACGCGATTAAAAAAGTGCTATAATGTAAATTGTATTGCTCATGCTACGGGCGCAGGCACCAGAGAGCTTCGTAATCGTATCGTTTATGGAAGAAGTTAGTTTGTTTTTGCGTCCGGTAGAATTGCCCGCAAACACTATAATATCATACTATTTTCTTCTTGCAACGGGCGTTTCCGCAACTCGACATACTTATGACGACTGTTTTGCGTAAATTAATAAAAATATAATACTGTTTTCATATATATTGAGAATAAAATTAATAATATTAAAGCGAAAGTTATCGATACGAAATAAGCTAAGCTAGCACACACTTATGTATAATTCTCACTCACCGGCGCGCGTCGCAGCGCAGCGCAGTGCATTTTATAATTTGTTGAAAGAAATTGGAATATTTACAAAGTAGTAAAGGTCCTTATTTGCGTGCCAAGCGGTTGAAGCCGAGTTCGAGCGCAGCTAGTCGGTTTCATAAGTGTTTGGGGCTTAGATTAAAACAAAAAGGGAAGATAAATATTTCCTCCAGCAAATCGTAATATGCTCAGCACTAAGCTTTGACGCGCGCCAGTAAGTGAAAATCGTACATTATCCAAAAAGCCATTTTAATTGTTGCAGAGAACTACGAGAAGAAGTTGAAAGATTACGCGCACAACTTGCCAAGAGAAATGGCGAAACTGAGTAAGTAAATTAATACATATATTTTTATTTCATTTATTTATATTTTCTGTTCTGTATACATTTTACATTTGTTCCAGTTATCCCCCATTCCCTGCCACACCCAAACGTGAAAAGCCAAAAACCGAGAAAAATAAGTATGTTATTGGGTACATATTTTAAATAACTTATATAACTAGTTTCTTCCTTTATTAACTTGTATTAATTGATTTATTTTTTTAGGAGAAAAAGCATAGATACGCCTGACGGTCCTCAAGATAATAATGCGCTTCAAATAATATGGTGAGTATTGTGAAGTATTTAACGAATTAGAAATAATATGGAATTAAAACTGCGCTAAAAAGTGGTTCCACGCAAACTGCGATCAACACGCCGATCATGGGATTGCTTGGCCAATGAACCATGTTATAGTTTGCATTTGTATTTACGCCTTTAGGAGGTGAGTTTCAGAAAATCCTTTCTTAACGCACGCCTACATCATTCTAGCTATAACATTTCAACGATCCGTTTAGTGGTTTGAGCTGTGAGTTGATAGGTCAGTCAGTAACTATTCCCTTATATATATACAAGAAAGAGTACCGCCCCTGTAGACGCTTTCAACTACCACGGATTCTTGTCCGTTCGTTATCTTACTGGGATGTTACACTGCAAAATAGTGTTAAATGGCCGAAGTTCTTTGTAATGTGTGTAAATATTTGACAGCAGTGTATCCTTATCCTGATCTATACAGTATGGAATCAGACAGCAGTCTTTGCTCTCAAAGTAACAAATAGCATTCGACGAATAGCCATTCTTACGCCGGTAACTCACTTGGCAGATCGTGCTTGCTATTTATAAACTTAACATAAGTCTGTCCTTTTCAATGCATTTGAAAACATCCAACACACATCAATTAGCCTAGCCCCAAAGTAAGCACTATATTTGGCTTGTGTTATGGGATACTAGTTGGGATATAATTATATGGAAATACATATTAAATATCCATGACTGGAGTACAAATGCTCGTATTCATCACACAAACATCTGCCCCCACCGGGATTCGAACCCTGGGACCTCTCGAGTAGGCGACACCTTGAAATCCGGCGTACAAACCACTAAGCCACGGAGGTCGTCAAAACATCTTCGTAGCCGTCGTATAAAGCATAATAAAGACAGACTCTTGTCAACTTTACAAATAGCAAATACGAATAGCCAATATAAGTGCTGGCGTTAGGCGTCGTCCTATTTGGCAACGATCGCACAAAGCGTTCTTGTCGTGCGATGATTTTAGAACATAAACATTTTTCAGAAGTGTAAGCCGTCGCACGAGCACAGGTACATTATTTTCATCGTACGATGAGATCGTATCGTATCATCGAACAATCGTTGCCGAAGAGCAAGTATAAGTTACAAGCAATATAATAAAATCTTGTCTCGAAGACTACAATGTCTCAATATACTCTTTTTTCCAGGGCTGACGGCACTCGCGATCGCGTAAGGGGCAGATATGAAGAAGGCTCTTTAATACTCACCAGCGGAGAGAGAACCTTACGGGCTATGTATGTGACTGACCACGCCGACCTTCCATACAACGAGGCCGCCAGGGCGTTTACTGTAAGTTAAATGCATATCTACCCAATAGAAAAAATGCTTTAAAAGTATCGCGTAAACAACGATATTAAATATCCTAGATACAACAACGCGAACAAAATCGTGGTCAAAACCTGTCCAAAATGTACATTGGACGATCCACGGGGGTCCGTAAGAAGATCGCGTAGTCAAAAGCGAAGAGCACACAAGACTGAAAATCGACTTCATCCGGCACGAAGACTGGCCCTCCTCCAGTCTAAATTTGAGTTCGTTAGATTACAAGATATGGCAATACTTGGAGGAAAAGGCGTGCTCAAAGCTCTTCCCAATTTGGTTTTACTCAAGACATCCTTGATTAAGGCAGTTCGTTCGTGCTGCGCTAGACGACTGGCCGCGCAGATTGAACGCCTTTATTCAAAATCACGGAGGTCATTTTGTACAAACTTTATTGTCATAAGAATCTATGTTTTGTTAAGTTCATTTTGGTATATAAATGGTTACATAATGAAGAAACTTGTTTCAATTATTTTTATTAAATATGTGACAGAATTTATGACCTGACTAAGTACATATATATATATTTATATGACCACGTGAATGTATTTTTAATATGATTGTAATATTGTAAGGTGAAGGCCGTCGAAGTCCCAGAAAGCTGCGATAGTGTGTGTAGTGAATGGGTGACTAGGCTAAAGACCGCTTCCGCTCCGCCCGCGTTTTATTCATCGCTGCTGGCGCTTATTCCTGACACCTCACCTAATGTCCTGTTCTAAAAAAATATCAACCTAGAATGTATTTTCACATGTAATGCCTTTAGATGATCTAACATTAATGTATTTTTTCACATCTTATTGTCAGGTGAAGGTAGACAGTCCGTCGAAGTCCCAGAAGGCTGCGATAGTTTGCCCCAGCGTGATGTCTCGTAGTGAATGGGTGACTAGGTTAAAGGCCGCTCCCGTTTTCTCTGCTGCACCGCCAGCCTCGTATTTACCGCTGGCGCTCGTGAATGTGACCACGTCGCCTTCTGCTGGCTTGTATGTGGCGCCCGACGCTGTGGCTATTGGTGAGTACACATACAACATACTCGGCGACACTCTCATAATATGACAACTCTCTGGTAGAGAAAGAAAGAAAAAACCGACCTACATATCTTCTAATATATAAATTTCTCGTGTCACGGTGTGCGTAATTGACCTACTCCGAAACGGCTCGACCGATTTTCGTGAAATTTACATGCATATTCAGTAGGTCTGAGAATCGGACAATATCTTTTTTTTCATCCCCTTAAAATTAAATGTTAAGGGTGGTCCACCATAAATTTTTTTTTGGACAAAATTTTTTGTTTTTATTTTTTATGATACTCTTCTTCCGTACCTGATCTCGTTATCTGGGGTCGGGTCTCCTCACTCTACGGCGCCAGGTTGATCTGTCCTGGGTTGTCGGTTTTGGCAATTGGGCTTTCTTAAAGTCTTTTTCAATGTTTGACCACCAGGTCGATGGCGGGCGGCCTCTACCTCTCTTTTGTTCTGGCAAGTTTAATTTTTTATGATACATCATACAAAAATACAAACAACCCTAAATTTACACCCTTCTATCACCAACCTCTATTTTTTTATGGCGGTACGAAGTTAACTGGAACAGCTAGTTTTAGTATAAAGTTATATAGCGAATACTTAATAGCATAATATTAATTTGACTTTAAATGTACTTTATACTTATGTAAAAAAGATTTACATTTTAATTTTTATTATTTTTAAAGCATGTAACTGCTTGATGTTTAAATCCAAAGAAAATATAACTAGAAAAAAATCCACTCGGACCAGGCAGCAGACGGGACTCGAACCTGCACCCTTCGCAATCCGGGCGAATGCACTGACCAATTATGCTACCGCGGCCCTTACGGACTGCGTTGAAATTCTTTTAGCCATTCTTAAGCTGCAAGGCAGCGCCATCTCTTCGCATTTATTAAGATTTACATTTCCGAATTTCTTCTCGTATTTATTTTTGTTAAAAAAGTTTAACTCAGAAGTTTCAAATCATCGACGCTCCATTTTGTACGTTAGGTGTTGGACATTAAATTGAAAAGGCACGTTGAAAGCATTATAGAACCGCTAACGACGAAAATTCTCGCTTAGGAAAAGCACAGTATTATTAAAGTTATAACTATAATATTCAGTCTGTGTTACCTGATTATTACACTCTGTTCCACGGAATAACGAGTTAGTGGAGCGTAATTTTTTTATATGCATAAATCGCTTACTTTCATAAGAAATAGGACTGTATTGACAGGACTCTTAGCCATTGGGCCGTAGGCACAATGTCGAAAAAATTGTCTTGTCGATACTAGCTAGTATCAAATATCTGTCTTTCATGTTTTTAATTTACTTCTGTGTCTTGTATGGTGTATAACAATAAAGAATATTATTATTAATATCCATCATTAGCAAATTATCATCATTCGTGTAATAAAATAAAATTAACAAAATTATTATTTATCATCAGGTTGTGCGGATGGCTTGCATTCGCTTCGCGGTCCCGTCCGTGTGGAATACGAAGGCGAGACGTATGGATCACGTGAATCACCCGAAGGTGCAAGGATACGGGGCGTGGCTTCCGCCGCGGGGAGAGCTTTACTACTCCACTCTAATGGAGTATTCCATACACCGATACATACGCTCGCATCGGCTTTAAGACGCGCACAGAATCTACATCCCGTAGTACAGGCTGTGGCTATACGATTGCCGGACAACACTACGCCCCATCTACTCAAGGTAAATGATATTACTATGGTGTCACGCGATATTGGCCTAAATTGGTATTTGAATATTTCTTAAAAAAAAAATATCTTGAACGAATTGTGAAATCATTGAAAAGAAATTGTGTTATATTTTTTTATTTTTTAAGCTTGTAACTGCTAGATGTTTAAATCTAAAGAAAATCTAAACATCTTACAGTTATATGCCTACAAAATACAAATATTTTTTATGAATGCTTTTGATCGATTCCTTGAATAAGTAACCTCGAGAACCACTTGCTTTATTTATTTTAATAAACTCATTATCACTTTTGAAAAAGTCACTTCAATAACACCGTTATTTTATATTTTATCAGGTAGCGGTAGGCAGCGAAGGTTTCGAAGGCGCATGCGCAGCAGTAGCGTGCGGACGACGCGTATTTCTATTACGTTTCGACGCCGCCGCCACAGAGTTCAAAATCGCACGATCCCTCACCGTCGACCGACCGCCATCTTCTATCCTGCTCACACGCCACGCGCTATACATCGCCGGAGAGAAACCGCTACGAATAAATCTACCTGCCGGGGCGTTAGAAGCATTCGGCATCGACGAACCGATTGTCGCGGCTGCTGCAAGAAAACATTCGCCACCCCGGGCTATCCTTCTTATAAGACAAGAACCGATCGAAATTCTCCTCTGCTACGCCGAATGCGGTGTGTTTGTCGACGAGCACGGAAAACGAACCCGCAACGAAGACCCCAAGTGGAGCACCGCTGTCCACGCGTGGGAATTCGTCGAACCCTTCCTCTACATCGTGGGCGACGAGAAAATCACCATTCTTTACATCAACGAGGACGTTTACCGTGCCCCGCCATGTACCTGCGATACGAGTTCCTTAGCGTCGACCGCTTCCGAATGCTACCTACCCGAAATATTCAGCTTGAAGATAAAAGAGCCCGTTCTACTAGGTACAACGCCCAATGGAATTCTTGTCGGCTCTGTAGATGAAGAAGGCTATAAAGTGTCGATAGTGGAAGGGATAACAGCGTTCAGAAGCGTCGGGGCATCTGTGGAATCTCTTGAAACTATCTCGGATTCAAAAAGCTCATCGACAGACTTGGGGCAGTCTGTTACCGACTTGTCGCCTCACGAAGTATCGCGCGCTTCACAAGACAGCGTGGAAGCTACTACTGGCTTCTTAGCTGACATCAGAAAGAGGGCGCGCCAGCTCAGGAACAAGAATCGCAAAGATCAAACCCCCGATGACGTCATAAAAGAGATTCTAACTACTGAAGTGGGATTGAAGCGCACCAACTTGAGCGGCAGAAAGTCGCCGGCTTCAGTCTCGGAGTTCGACTCCGATTCTACGGAGAGTGAGGAAAAGACTGCATCGTCCAAGTGCACGAACGATATATGCGCTGAAATGTTCACAAGGCAAGTGCGCTTTCAATAGCTGTTTTGTTATATCGTTATTACCCATATTTAATGAACACTAATTGTTTAATTTTAATTCTTACCATCATAGCTTTCAATTTACCATTTGAAAGATGTTTAACATTACCCCAATAATTAAAGTATTTTGTTTCTCTATATTTAAAGGACTTTTATCTTTACAGACGTGTCAGTCCCATCGTGTACTTATATAAATTAACAAACCATCTAAGCCAATTAACGTAATATGTTATTGTCGGAAGAAAGACGCGGCAGACATATAAAGCGATACAGCATTCTAGCCTCTTCCGAGACCGGTTGGGCCAGAATGCTGTGAAACACACCAATGTCTGCCATATTCAATTTACATTTGTTAACAAACAATAATTGAAGTTATGTTTTTCGAGTTTTGTTCAAATGACGAAAATTAAAAGCTATCGTGATTGGAGTTCAAATCAAATAAATAAGGTTCTAGTTCTGTTTTAAGATACCTTACCTTGTCGACAGTCGACTTTCGAGATATTCTTATCCACTTGTAATTTAGAATATTCTTTAGAAAAAGTAATAATGACCATAGCCAAGAACACCGCTTAACTTAGTTTGGTTTTTGGGATAACATTTACTCTTTATTTTTATAGAACAGCGAATCTATTTAACTGATTTTTAGGTAGTATTTTATTTATAAGTATTTATGATTCCTCTTTTGTATTAAATAATATTTCAATATTGGTGTAGATATTGCTTCTGCGCTTCGAGAGAGATTAGTATTTTATTGTACATTTTTTTTCTCTAGTAGTAACTCTGTTATTATAAAATACATTGTACTCATCAATACCATACCATTAAAGATAACTTTTGAATAATTATTAATATTAATTATTATTTGTAAATTACTACTTATTAATATTAACAATACTTACAATAATAGGGGTGACGACGGGGTAAAGTAAACGAAATTCTATTTAATCCGTCAGTTAAATGATCAAAAAATAATGGACAAGTATTTTTTCTTTTGGCAATCAACCAAAAAAAGACAAAGATAAAGCGCGTCAAAGTTTGGGAGTAGGGGCTCGTGACGTCACTTTTAAGTGAAAATTGAACCAAAACGTGACTTCATACGACTTTTCAAATCAATATATCTCTCCAATGTTAATATTATGTAAAAAAATAAAGAATACGTGTCCAATACTTTTTGATAATCTAAAGGATTTTATTATCATAGACATGAATACAAATTACTGCCTATGAAACTGTTATGATTACACGGCTCAGTAATCTAAGGCACATGTTCCACCTCCGACGATGAACGATAAGCGAGTAGAAACTAGAAACGAATGGGCAGTCCTGAGTTAAAATGCACGAGCACGGCTTCTAACAGCCAAGCCAGCTTAACCGAGCGAGTATAGCTGAGCGAGTATCGCTGAGCTAGTATCGCTGAGCGAATATCGCTGAGCGAGAATCGCTAAGCGAGTATCGCTGGGCGAGTATCGCTGAGCGAGTATCTCTATGCGAGTTTGGCTGAGCGAGTCTTATCTTTAATAACTATTGTCACTCAGCTACAAACGAGTAGAGAGAGTTCTCGCCGGCGACAGTGTGATCATTCAGCTATCAACTATTAATATAAAAAAAGATGGCGCGTAACGGAAAAATGTGACGCGTAACCGAAAAATGTGACGGTAAATTTTTTTCCAACGCCGATAAAGAAGTTTCACTTCAAAAAATAGTCGTCATCCCTATTGGACTTATATTTAATTAGTAAGTAATGTTGTAATGTCTAATACCTACAAAAGTACTTAATAGCCGCATAATTTGTATTGATTACTATTTTAGAAGTTACGAACTTTATACTGTGATTTGATACTTAACTTTAGATTGTTCTAGATTTTAGTAAATATTTGTATATATCTTGTCTTGTTCGAAAATGATTCATTTTTTATTTTTTTCATTCCGATTTGGAAAATAATGGTTTTATAATAATATAAGTGATGCTTGTTTTAATATGTGACATGTTACAAAATATATTTTTCAACATAGTTGTTCTTTTTTTCATTTATTTATATTATGATGACCAGACAAATACAAATAAAATCCCTAATTCATTGCTTCAATGACTGTTGGGAATAGATAATTAAAATACCTAATATTTTCTATTCACGTATTTCACTTGAGTTTTTTCATAAAATAAATATTTCTTTTTCCCAATTGAACTGTGTAAAGTTCTACACAGTTTGACCAGTTTAAAGTTTTACACAGTTTAAGATTGTCCAACAGGATTATTTTTTCTTTTGGTCAAACTAATTAGCTTGATATAAAAGACATAACACTTCGTGTTTAACCACCTTCTTCCTCATTGTCAAACTAATTGGTCCAGCAGGAATGTCGCCAAAGGCGATTTTCAGGAATACATCGTAACGTGAACTACATTATGGACCCAGACCACTCGACAACCTCCTCTAATTTACTGCCACCTAGAGACCGTCTCAGAAAACTTTCATTAATATTTAGTATAATGAACAAAAAGAATACTTTTCCAAGATTGGTTGCTTTTTGGTTGGCCAGCTTCTTACACGCATCACTTTGAGAGAGACCTTTGATCAATTCATGCTAGCGCTGCGCTTCAAAAAAAGTAACATATCTTTTATCCCAGAAGAAATATGTAAATTACGTTGCGGATATAATAGTTTATTTGCTTTGTTACGTTTTTAAAATTCGCTTCGATGCGCTAGTATGAATTAATCATTAGTCTGCTCTGCAATCATGTAGTTATAGTAAAGCAACTAACTTTCTGAATATTTGACTGCATGCGATTCGACCTGCAATTTCGATGCAGCGATGCAGTCAGGTCAGATGTGCGTGCAGTACCATCTTTGACCTATTGGAGGCCCTGGACATATTAGGATAATGGGGCCCCTCTGACTTCCGTTTGGAGTTTTAACAGTAACTAGGGACTTTGTATTTGATCTGAGGGGCGCTCCTATCGATCGCGGGGCCCTGGGCACTTGCCCAAAGTGCCCACTGGGAAAGACGGGTCTGTGTGCGTGTAAATTGAGTGATCACCGAGATTTCGCAAAAAAAGGATTATCATCCTTTTTTTTGCGAAATAGGTCCAATTTATTCCGCCCGCGCCAAAGAATGGAATGGAAGCGAATTAAGCAACGAAAGAATAGTAGAACTTTATGTCAATTGTATAACATACAAAGTAACTGAAAACGTGAGTCGCATTACCGCGGATCTACTATACTTATATTTTGATGGCCTGAGCAGACGACGGACTTTTTGTAATTTTTTTTCATAATACGAGTATTATGAAAACATGAGTGCCGAGAGCTTGTTACGGACCCAATGCACACGGTGTGCGGACACACGCGGACGTTTGTTGCTCGGAAATTTAGTAAAGCGCACGCGGCACGCTATGGAAGTAATATTCTGAGATTACGTTGTATTGTAATTAACATGAAGTTTAAGAAAAGAGACGTTCTGAAAGAGAATCATGGTTCCATCCCTTTATATCGGATTGAGATTATATATATGTTTTTTATTAAGATTTTACTATAAAATTGTAAAAACCTAAATAAAAAAAACGAGTGTGCTTATGACCACACGACTGAAGTGAAACTTTTTAGCTCCAGCTATATACACTCCTGGACTCTTGAATCGAGCCACCTTAGATTCCCGGGCCTAAAAGCCCAATACACAAAAAATATACCTACAATATAACAAAAAAGTTTTTATGCATTTTTAATGCTGGCATATTTCATCTTGTCTTTCCCGTTTGTATTATTCCAAATTTGAATTTGAGAATTTTTAAATAAAGAACAAAAGCCGAGCTTGGACACTGATTTGAAAAAAAATATGATTGTTGAAAGTTGCTTTTGAAGCAATTTAATGTCGATTTGGTTTGAATTTTCGCAGTTGTTGTAAACCAAAGTTTAGTTTAGTTATTTTTCTATAATTTGAACCGTTTTTGGCTATAACATTATGGATACTTCACCTGAAGTAGCCGCGCAAGCTGTAGCACTTCTTCAATCTGGGCTAAGTCAGCGAGATGTGAGTTTACAACTTCACATATGTCGTTCCGCTGTTCAAAGAGTGTACCACCGATACCTGGAGACTGGCGGCTTCGTTCGGCGAACAGGAGGACCTCGTTACCGAGTGACAACGGCGAGACAAGATCAATACTTTGTCACTACTAGCTTAAGAAATCGACGCCTTAACTCTGTTCAGATACAAGAACAGCTGAGGGACTTTCACGGAGTGGCTGTAAGTGCTCGGACCGTTAGAACGTGGTTTAAAGCCCCATAAGCCAGCCAATGGACTCAAATTGACACGAGCACACCGAATAGCCCGTCTAGAGTTTGCGCGCGAACATCTAAATTGGACTCGACATCAATGGAGCCAGGTTCTCTTCACAGATGAGTCCAAGATAATGCTATACGGTAATGACGGAAGGAGTAAGGTGTACCGAAGACAGAACGAGCGTTTCGCGCAATGCTGTATTGACGAGAAAGTGAGTTATGGTGGAGGATCATGGACAGTCTGGGGAGGAATCTCTATGGAAGGCAAAACTGAGCTAGAGGGAGTGACGGGACCACGACTGCTGCCCCTAGATGGCAATAGATACATTCGCCAATGTTTAGATAACCACGTGATGCCATTTGCTGGATTTATTGGCCAAGATTTCATTTTTAATGCATGATAATGCAAGGGCCCATACTGCGGGAATCGTCAGGGAGTACTTAAATGACATTGGTATCACTGTTATGAGATGGCCAGCGCGAAGTCCTGATATGAATCCTATAGAGCATCTATGGGATGAGCTGAAGAGGCGTGTTCGAGCTCATCATCCTACCCCGCAAACCATGCAGGAGCTCAAAAGTGTAATTTTGGAAGAATGGGAGGACATTCCTCAACATGTCATAACGACATTGATTAATTCTATGCCAAATCGTATGAGAGCTGTCATAAATGCACTGGGAGGCAATACAAGTTACTAAATAAACATTTCTTTTCATGTAAAACATGTCTTTATTTAAAAATCGAATTATTAATTTCCTTGAAAAAAGCAAATATGGACTTGTTTCAACGGAACTCGACTTTTTAATAAACTGTAGTTCAAATTTCGAACAGTGGCACTCTAAATGAATGATGAGTATACCAGATCCAAAACTGCATCAAAACATTTTCCTTCTACATAGGTACATCTTTTATAAGTTACAGTACTCCAAACCAAAAAAATCAAGGTGGCTCGATTTAGGTGTCCCGGAGTGTATATATATGTGTACAATTTATACATGTATATATTTAATTTAGTAGCGGAACATTATACATATTTAATTTACTAGCTATAGGAGAAAGAGAGAAATAAAATGTGCGCCCCCACTCAACTCCCGTAAAACATACGAACAACATATTTCAAGTTTTTTCAATTTAATCATTCATTTAAAATAGTAGACTCAAAAGACATGACGTTAAGCCACAATAAAAAAAAAGAGATGACTTAATTTTAAGTTTTCCTCTTATTAATAAACGAGGTATAAAGCTTAGACTAGTTACGCCGTGTTATGCTCATATGACTCAAATGACATTTGGCAATCAATGAACAGAGACAAAACATGGAGAAATATCCTTTAATAATCAATTAAAATCTTATTTAATCCAAAAATGTTTTTATATTTTAAAAGTTTTTTTTGAGGACAAATGTAATTAATTTTTAAAGTTGACATTTTCATTATTATTATTGCATATTGACATTGTTAAAGATATTTTATAAAATTTAATTGTTTTTTTTGTGTAAAAATGAAATTATTATTAATATTGTTGTTTATTGACATTGTTTATTGACAATATGAACAAAGTATTATAATATAATTTAATAAGCCCTCTGGTTTGATATTTGCTATGCCCTTGCAGGGAGTCACATATTTCCCGTGGCAGTTGGCTGGGTCTGCTATCGGGCGCGTCCTCCCGGGTGGCGGATGGGAGGTACCGGCTTCGGCTGGCGTGGACCATACCCAGCTGTGGAGACCTGGCTGGCGCCCTGGGTATCCCGGGTAGCGGCAGTCGGGTCGAGCTCGTAACCCTACACATAGTGCAGGGCCGAGGGCCATCGCCTGCAAAGGAATTGTTTCCTTTGGAGGCGGGGGCTGCGAGGAAGACTCTCTAAAAAATTACCCGGTGTGGATCTCGGCTGGCGTCCTGGGTATTCCGGGTAGCGGCATTCGGGTCAAGCTCGTAACCCTGCACGTAGTGCGGGGCCGAGGGCCGCCGCCTGCAAAGGAACTGTTTCCTTTGGAGGCGGGGGCTGCGAGGAAGACAACCTCTTCAAAAATCACCCGAGGGGTCTCTCGGCCGGCGCCCTGGGTAGCCCGGGCAGCGGTGGTCGAGGCTCTGTTGGTTGAGGCGGAAACGCCATCGGTGAGGGCGGTTGCGGCGCGAACTCCGCGTCGCCTCCGGCCAACCCGTAACCCCGCACGTGGTGTGGGGCCGGGGGCCGCCGTCCTTCAGGCGGGGGCTACAAGAAAGAAAACCTTTTCAAAAATAACCCTTGAAGAGGCCAGGTAGTGTTCCCTCGCCCGGAAGAGGGAAAAATTGATGAAAATGTCATTCCATGTGTTGAGTATGTCATGCGCTCCCGTTGACGCCGGGCGCTCTGGGGTAGCTGGGCCCCAGGGTGAGAAGTTTGTTACTAGCGGCTTATGCGCTCCGGCTGGCCACCGGCGCTGCGGGATTACCAGGTCCCGCAGTGGTAAGTTGATTACCGAGGCGTTTGAAGGAGCTAAGACGGGCGTCCTGCGCCTTAGAGGCGGTGGAGACAAGGAGAATGGGGTGGACTTAACACCAACTTGGGGGGACCCAAGGTGAACACTGCACGCAGGGGAAGGGGTAAGCGTAAAGCTTCCCCAACTCCCTCTTCGGAGTCCGAACCTTTCTACAGGATTGACGAGGAGGAGTGGGATATTCTCACGACGGATGAGATCAGGGACGCGATCACCCAGCGCGTGGAGTATGTGGGCGAAATGGTGGAAGAGCGGTT